ATATATATATATATATATATACATATCTTATTATATATATATATATATACACATAATAATATTTGAATAACATTTGTGCTTTTACTGCATAATATATCAAAATATATTATAACATATAATATAAAGATATCTATACGTAAATATTTTATTAAGTTATAAATGTGAGATCTGTACATTTAATCAAAATATTTAATACATTTTGCTAATTAATAATAACATTTTTGAAATATATATTTCTTATATTAAAAAAATAATCATTAAATAACCTTTTAAATTAATTACACATATTTTTTTCTCTTATTACATGAATAATGAAATATCTGAATAGTATTTTCACTCATGTATTTTGACTCATTTTATGTTTTGTCACTTATAATTGCCATCTTCGTTTTTTATGGATGTTTCATTCAATTGATTGGTAAATTAGCATTAAATTAACGATGATTCTTTTAAATAGATGCATATTTATTATGTCATTTTTTAAATTATTTTCAAAAACTTGAAATATCTTTTTCTAAAAATATAAATTTCTAATATTTTTTTTAGAATTTATTTAGAAAATATTATTTTAGTTAATTATTGTATTTAAAAGAAATGATTTCTCCATATCTTTTTTAGATCTATATCTACATAAATTATTTCACGGAAGAAATAAATTTTTTAATAATATTTTACTTTAATAATACTTAAAAATAATGATTATTAATGATTATTTTCAATAGTAAGAATCATCTATTATCCAATAGTACTATTATGCATCTTGTACATATGTAAGGCGAGAATGTATTCTGGAAATTCGTATAGATACAACGTGCATTTCGCTTTTAAGGCAGCTTCTCATATTCCGCTCGCATGGGCAGAATATACGCGACATGACACGAGATTCGCGAAAAGGACACAATGATAAAAGTCGTGACCGTCGTCGCCGCGCCACGTTCAGCTATAAAAGGGGATTTTCTCGTGGACAAAAGAGGAGAGTATTTTCCTCGTAATAACAATTTATAATTACCTCGATGATATATCTGGCGGGGCCGACTTTTGCCCCCGTTACCACGTGTGATGACGTTTGTCCTCGTTGACCATCGCCACACTCTTGAATTTGAGTCACGCCCGACAATCCATGGTAACTTCCGCTTTGGCTCTAATTAGACCCGTCACAAAAAGCGAAACTGCCGGATAGGACGACCGAGAATATCGCTAAATTTCCTGATTGTCCGTTCCTACCGTCTTCGCACCTGAATTCTAATCTCGATGTAATAAATGAATTGCGCTCATCATCTGCAAGAATTTTACGACACGTTATTTATTACAAGAGACATTCATTGGAAATTATATCTTTGGCAGAAAAATACATATACACATACAATAAATATATATGATGGAAATCTAACATCTCTTTCTGAGTCTTCTGAGACAGTTTAAGTATTTGTTATTTAATATTTAATAAATAATAATTGAGGTAGACAGAGAGCGGAATAAAAATTGATGCAAAAAAATTTATTTCAGCTTTGCTCTTGTATTTTTATCACGATGCAATGATTGCGCGGTTTTATAGTACTCATCCGTTTATTTTTCAATCGCATTCAAATAAAATCTCTTCTCGTTTAATCTTCTCTTTATTGTTTTTAGTTGTCCGTTCTAATAATGAAAACGATCAATATCACCGTGCGAATGCAGTCCTATAACAAGAATTTAAATATTAATCTAGAATCAAATACGACGCGCATTTCCTCTCACGTGGAAAATGAAAAAAATCATCGTTGTCATAATTTTTCAAATGTAAAAATCACTACGTCTTCTTCTCTCTTCTTGATTTTTTGCCAACAGCCTGCAATCTTCTATCTTTCTTGGCGTGGAATCAATTTCTCGAGTGCGAAAAAAAACATTGTTCTATTCGTTAAAGGTATTCGTATACGCGGAAGGAGGTGATAATAATTTCTTCAGCGACAGACCAGAGATACATAATACTTTTAAAGAGGGATTCAAAATTAATTTTTTCAGTAATAATACACGCGACACATATAATACCGTAGCATATTTATTATATTAATTTATTGTGAAGCACGCGCGTTCAAACGCGCGTAAAACGATGTTTATTATTCGCGGTCTGCAAACTGTCATGACATTTTACATTTGCATTCATTTATGCAACAGCATAATGTATATTTTATGAATATTTTACAGAGCAACGGTATATATAATATATTTAAAACATGCCACGTTGCTAATTCAGCACAATGTCGCATTTCATACGTTAATTTCACACTTTGTGGTTATGCGCTAACGAAAAATCTGGTCAGAGCTCGGCCACATTCGCAAAAAATATAAAGCTACGCAGAGGAATGTAGTCGCGCGAGATAAATATGGCACAACCATATTTATATATCCTATACTGTTAGCGTATTATGCATTACGTAGGTAAAGTTTGAAGTCGCATAAAAATCGACACAATTTATAATAATCTCATTAATAGCCTTCAGCGTCAGGAGAATAAAGTCTCGAGTGCTATATTAAAATATTTCTTATATATTCGTTCAATGGGGAAAGCGTGGAAACTTCGCGTTACAATCGGAATGAGAAATCGTGAATTTTCTCTTGGCTACTGCAAAATGAGGTAATCAAACTTTAGGTCGCATTTATTCTCCGCGCTCCACTTTATTTTCCATTTCTATGCATTCGTCTTACTTACTTCTTGCGTTATCCCGCGAAAAACGAAACGCTATGGAGAAACTCTCGAATGTATTTTCATTCTTACCAAACGTATTTATCCAAGTCCCATTCAGATATGTTTTTATTATATCCCGGTTTTAATGGTATGAAGGATTGAATGCACTTTTGTTTTGTTTTGCCGCTCTTTTATCCCGGAAATCGTCAAAAGCTCGAATTGTCAAACATCGACAAGTTCAGATGAGTTGATTTTCACGAACGCACAATCAACTCGTAAAGTTTTTTTTTTATGTTTGATATTATTTGCTGTTGGGATTTTGTTACGAGATGCATCTCGCTGCATAAAGTTGGAGAGTATATTGACGTTTGCGCGCGTGCTTCACGTCATAACTTTAGCGCGATACGCGGAGAGAACTTCGGCTCTTAAATACTTAACTGCGGTTTCCTTCCGATTCGCATAATTCTTCCATGTTGTCATCTCGGATGATGAAAGGAATAGAGCGTCTCAACAATTCACTTTGTTCCGTATGCTCATTAAATTTCGAATAAAATGTGTTTCATAATACATTTATAAAATTATAAAATTATTATATTTTCTAAATATTTATATCAAAAGTACAAACCTGCATATGCCAGTTGTCAAAAATTATAATTATAATAGTAGAAATTCTTTTATCTTATTTAGTGCATCTATTAATTTTTTGATGATTAATTTTTGATGGTTATAATTAATCTCTTTTAATCAAGCCTGATTACATTTTGATAATAGAAGCAGCAAATTTTGCATAATAAATTATGCGTGTTTCAATAATTTTATATATGCAACGATTTCTTTTTCATATATGTAATCTTCTCCTATTTTTAGAGATAAATAAATTTACATTACAATTTATTTAATCTTTTTACAGTTTAAAATAAATGACTTAAGTTTCTAGTGAACACATAAAACTAAAAATACGAAGTGAAATCACTGTTAAATATCTTTCCTTTAAATAAATTGCAACTTTATCAATTTTATAATGTAAATATAGATGAATAATTACAAATATATATAGTATGTTCTAATTATATTTTTATTATAATTCTTTTAATTTTGAAAAGTAATTTTACAAATGTCCAAATAAAAATAAATATAATAGAATAGAAAATTCTGTTGCGTAAAAATACGAGAATTTATAATATTACAATAGAACAATGAGAAAAGCGTGTGAATTATGACTTAGATCAGCATATTTTATACGCGAGAAAACATAAAACTCATATAATTTTCAAAATATTCAAACGTTTTCAATAATTTTCACACAGTAATTTTTTCTATATCGCGTATGATTAAGCAGCTTTTCATTTATTATTATTATTTCACTCATTATTTGCATTCACTTTAGACTTTGTCGCGGTAAAAGGGAGAAGCCGGAGGTTAAAAAGTTTCTCAAACGAAATCATCGATGCGGAAAATTCAACTTTGAAGATCTCTCTCAAATTTATGCATTCCACGATCCCCGTTGAGAGGCAGAGGCTACGCGTATCTCCGCCTCGTCTCTTTCCCTTCGCCGCTGTTGCCCCCGTCACTCTCTTAATATCGCCCAACATCGATGGCTCCGTAGATTTCCGTAGCATTTTTAAACGAAAACGACGAAAAGCCACCTGCCGCCCCCAACCATCACTCTCCCGCTCCGACACGAGATACTCGTGAAGGAGGAGCTTTATAACGACTTTACGAGATTCGCAGAGCTCGCACGAACGGTAACGACTTCCTAAGTGTGAAAATTTTAAAGCTACCGGAAGAAAATTTCTGAGCCGGTGATACACCCGATTTTAAAGCCGTTAGACAGACTTACAGTTAGTTACATCGTGCGAGTTTGGTCTCCACGACCGGAAGACTTCGCATCCGATACGCACGACGAGATTGAGAGATTTACACCGATGATGCGCGCCCGTCTTGCATCGCATTTTAATACAGTCGACAGTTTATACAGAGCGCAAGGAGAAAATCCTCTTTCGGTCTTGGACTTCTTACCTACAACCATAAATAGTACAACACACTCTGATCTCGTATATTTTTTGTGATATTACCGATGACAGAATAAATTCGCATTTCCCATTTTCTTCTTTGTTGATGTGTTATTATATATACTGTAATGTTTAAAAGAAATTTCATTTAACAGAGTCAAACAAGCGAAGAAAATCGAAAGTTTTATAGAGTACGTTTTCAACAAAGTTTGTTATTTCAAGTTGAATTTTTTGAATATAGCCTGCACGCGAGATAACATTCAACTAACTGCATGGAACATAGAGTGCTGTGTCACAAACGTCGACAACGGTTTTTGTTGCAGGTTGAGATGAAAGGGATCTCCGGACCAATTGAATTTAAAGAAGGACGCAGAATACAGTTTAAATTGGATCTGCTGAAACTGAAACAACACTCGCTCGTCAAGGTACGTCCTGATTTACTGAGCAAAACTGGAAGACCGTGAATCTATATAACATGCAGATGGGAAATATATATAAAATTATATGCGAAACTAGGTCGGCGAGTGGCGTCCCGGCACCGGCATCAACGTTACGGATACCGCAGCCTTCTTCGAGCCTAGCATCGGGAACGTAACTCTGATCGTGATCACTATATTGGTGAGTTGCACGATAATTTCATTACACATGGTAAAAATGCCATCACAAGAAGATATTTCATAGTTGACATAAGACATAAAACACAAAATAAAAATATTCATTTCTCTTCGAAAATAATTAAATTATTTAGCGGTAATTATTATTGAAGCACAATAACCGCTTTGGAAAAGATATGAAATGAAATTGTCAATCGCAATGCCGACTATCCGATATTATCCATTCACCCATTTTGGAAGAAATGGATCGAACAAGGTACGCGCGATGTCCGAAAGTTCCTCGATATGGTTGGCGCCAACGTGTCTCGTCGTAAATCCGCGTTATGGTCTCAAAGTGTTTTCCGTTATTCTTGCATGAATCCGTGCGTTCGGCACGGATGCAAGAGATGCCATACGTGATGATGCATCACGAGAAAAACTACATCGGGAATTCGCGGTTTTACGGTTTTTGCGTGGACCTCATGGCGAGGGAAGCGGGTGTCTCGTATCTGTTGGAGCTGGTACTGGACAGGAAGTATGGCACGCGGAAACCGGCGAGTGAAATGGCATCATCAGAGAGCTCACGCGACATGTACTCGTATGATTTGATTTGTTTTGTTTCAGTTTCGTCTCTCTGTTCTAATTCGCATTGTTCTGCTCTACGCCACTCGTATCGCTAGAATATTACTGGTTATCCCGATTTTTTCAGTTTAGTCGACTTCTATTGGATGATAAAGAAATTTTTATCTTTGTTAGCTGGATCTACAACGAATTGTATGTCAAATTAGATTACATGTTCATTTATGCTGATTATTCAACATCCAATGCTTGTGATTCATCGATAGCGTACCGTGGCTGACCAATACAAAGTTTTACTACTGCGAAACTTTTTTTGTTAGATAAAATCTGCTCAATGTCTTGATGGCCCATATATATATATTGAGCCATCAAAGCATTGAGGAGATTTTATCTAACAAGGAGATTTTCGCAGTAGTAAAACTTTCTTGGTTAGCCGGTACGATATCGATGAATCACAAGCATTAAGTAATGAATTATCATGAATAATTAACATAAACGAATATGTAGTTTAATTTGATGTACAATTCGTAGGTGGATTCAATTAAAGAAACTAAACATTTTTTAATCACCTAATATAATTGGCTGAACTGAAAAAATCAAGATATATATACAATTTCATTAATAGTAGAAATAAACATTAATTTATTATTATTTTTTTTATAAAAAAATTCTTCAGAATGCAAAAAATATAATTACGATTAGATGTTCTATTTTGCTGTAGTCCCTACTTTGAATTATGATTTTAGTTTATGTATCCAATTACATGTTTCTGTTATGCTGAGCAGTCGAATCTGTTCTCCTAGTAACTCATTATGATCAATTACACCGCTATCTCGTCGTATCGTAGGACAGAGGAACCGCGATGGGTGAAGGTAAATCACAATGCGGTGTATGCGGCATAATGCGCCCGCGATATTGGCAACTCGCAAATACCAGTCGATATGAAATAAGATCGTAAATCAATCAATGATCATAGCAAGTTAATTATTAATGGCACGGTTTATCGCATCGTGAAATTTATCAATGTGTCGAGTTTCCAGATTAATGTAATTAAATTCTAAGTTTTTTTTCGATTTTATACATGAGCTACATACCTACATATACGCGCGCGATTCTTCGGGAAATTTTTATTTTAAAATTTTTATTTTAAAATTTTTATTTTAAAATTTTTATTTTAAAATTTTTATTTTAAAATTTTAAAATTTTTATTTTAAAAAACATGGAAATTCGATATAATAAAATGGTTTTTCAACATCTCACTACTTTTATTATACATTTTAATGTTATAATAATTATGACGAAACATAAAATGATAAAAGCGAAACGAATTATTTAAAATATATATTCTAACGAAAGATATATTCTACTTCTGATGAAAGATGATATTTTTATTTTGTTTCATAATGCATGTGTATGTGTGTATATGTATGTACTATAATATAAGTACGTAAAGAAAAATTTCCTTAATATAACATTCTAATTATGTGCCAAATTGATATCAAACGAGTCTCATAATATGACTATAATATACGTATATGCAAATAATTTAATTAATTGCACAATTTTTTCTCTCTACCTCTCTCTTTTTCTTTTTCCATGCAAATGTGAAAAACAATGTGAAATCGATAATTTTTGCATATTATGGTAAAATTAAATGTTGTATTAAAAACAGTAGAAAAATTTTTTTCTTAATTAAAAACATGATGAAACGTGAAATACATTTTAGTAATGACGTCTAATTATATCTTGATAAAAATAAAAACGCGAATATTTATAAAATTACATTTTTTGTTGACATAATAAAAACTAATAAAATGCTGTATAAATTCCATATCGTTACAATGAGACTGAGTATTTGTCAAAAAATATTTCGCAATAATTTAATTGTATATTCGCGCAAATATAATTCTCTTTCTCGTCCATAATATACGAAATAATTTACAATTCTGAATAGTATTTATCCTGAATAGGATTTTTCGTAACAATTATTTACTTTAATAATCAATTATTGTTTTCTAGATACGAATACTACCTAAAGTAGCGCACGAATCTTTATTAATAATTAAGGATATACATACGGGTCGGTCTATCCTAACATATAATATGATCATGTTCGATGTTGAAATTTGTGCTGGGCTCTTCTCTTGTTAAATCTTTCACAGTCTTGCAGCTTCACGCTTCACGTATTTCGCCGCTTTATTCAAGATTCATGTATTATTCAAAGGAGAGTTAAAAGTGGCCTTACAATCTCCATTAAATTGGCTTTAAATTAATTTTATATCTTATTTTTTGTCTTTTCCTCACATTGAGGATTTTACTCTCTCAGCGCTCACATAAGAATATACTATATTAAGTAATTATTCATAAAAGCCACCGACTATTTAATATGTCCTTCTCTTAATTTGTGCGTCTAAAGAATCAAGTTTTTAGGGGAGATTTTCGTTTCCTTCACATTGAAATCTAGGATAAATATTTTCGTCCGATTCATATCTCGCGAAAAATAATGTCTCTCTCCATGAGAATTTTACTTCTAGCTACGTACGTTTTCCATCTCTGTTTTCATGCGTGCATTCGCGCAGCTTATTTGGATTAAATCTTATGTTTGAATTTTCAAGCTTTTTTCATGCATATGTATACATACGTCTGCATACCAAATTTTTGCAAACGAATATAAAATTTCAAATAGTATGTATGAATAAAATATGTGTATGTTTCTATTTTCTTTTTGAAAATTTAGTTAACGAAATTAATACTATTATATATAATAACAAAGTTAAAAATATTGATAAAACAAAGTATTGGATAATGAGTTAAAAAGTTTGGGTGAATCAACATATTCTTTACCTATTTTCCTGATATATTATTTGTCGATTTAATTACCATGCCAAATTCATTTTCTGCATAAATACTACTATACTGCAATTAATCCGGTCGAAATTCTCATATGCAGCTCGTAAATATTAAATCTGGTCGACATTTCCTCTAATTAAATCTCTCACGTTTTCGCGGCAACGCAGAACTGGCCCCATTTTCATCTAAAACGACGGAGAGCTTCATGAAGTGAAGTTACTTTATTGCATTTCAAGAAGCCGATTTGAATTTAAATTTAAATCTAGATCGCACGCGCGCATGCGCTAGACTTCTCAACTCTCTGAATATATAGCGACCGCATGATAATACTGACTTTTTACCTTTTTAGTCAACAAATTTCCGCTCGTTCCTCATAAGGATAATATTTACTCGGTAGACCCTTGTTTGCTCGCGTACGTTTTTATCGTGCAATTATCGAAATTATCTACACAATTTTTTTCATTTTTTCTACTCTATATTCTCCGTTAACAAAACGCATCCAATATTGATTATTTATACCGACGCTTTACCAAACATTTAATCTCACATATCTCGCATGAAAAAAATAATGGATTAAATGTCTGATATGTGTTGAAAATTAAATATTTGAAGTTTTCCTGTTTTTCAAGGAAAATTATATTTGTTATTGTATTTATTCCGCCAAAGTAAAAGGTGAAAAAATAGTAAATCTCTAAATTAGTACCCTTCTTATATTCGAATATTTAATTTGAATAAATCTTTAATTGTTAATCACTTTTTAATAAACAACGAGTGAGAAAAATCTTTGAGAAGTTATTGTCATTTTAACGTGTCAAGATTAAGATCATTGATAAAGAATATATTAATCTAGAAATTTATTAACAAAATTATTAAAAGAAATTAACGTTATGTGATATAAACTGTAAATCATACTTTACTTTTCACGTGGAAAGAGACTAATTTATCCAAAATTTTTCACTTCTCTTATCAATCATATCGTCAATGTATGAATCAAAGATTAATTGTCGATGATGTCATCTCTATCGATTAAATTAAATTTCTTTACTCGCTTTTTATAAACCTAACAAACGAGATTTACTAAGCAAACTACCGTCTGACTGACATATAACTTTACGCACGTTGATCGCCACTCTCGCACCTGCGTCTCCGATACCTGCGACACGCAGTTGTTATGCATGCAAAGCGTATCCCCGCCTCTCCTTTCTCCCCGTCCCGCGCGAATGTTCAATGTAATAGTCTATCGAAGAGTAATCCATTTAGCCAGTAATCAGCATCGAGAGAGCCATCGAATCGCGTGCGATGTGCAAGCGCACTCCGTTACCGAAGGCCCAAACATACTCGGAATGCCGTCGTAAATACCAATTAAAGCTGTCCACATGGCTACGAAGATGCACGATCCGCTATCGTTCCAATTCTTCGGTGCCGAGAATGGCAACATGACATTTTCGCGCGGAATTCATATTTTGTTTCGACTTTGCGCAAGCATTTCTTCTCAGTCGCGATGTCATGGAACCCCATAGCGCCGCTTCTAACTTGCAAGAATTTTTTTATTATGTTTTTTGTGTGTAGATATTTTTATTTAATTATTTTATTTGTTTGTGTAGATATTTTTATTTTATTATTTTATTATTTTGTGTAGATATTTTTATTCAATTATTTTATTTATGTGAAAGCACAAAGACTGCCTTTAATCATTCAAGTCGATCAAAGGTGCATAATTCATCAAATATTTCAAAAGTCAATTTAAAAAGTCTTTTTCGCAACACGTATATTTCCCTTTCAGTCGCTAAATTCCAAAGATGTATATTATTAGTCTATAATTGTTTTATTATTCCCGAACAATTCCTCAAAAAAATTAATATGCATTTATTTATTCAAAACTCCCGTCACAAAATTAAAATAAACGATAGTTTTATATTCAACTATCGACCTATATTATCTAATTGATCGATAGTTATAAGACGCAGCTACTTATTACTTTTTAATCAGGCCTGTAGTCGTTTCTCTCGGCAAAATGAGCAAGGTAAAATTTCCTTAATCTTCTCGAGCAGACCAAAGCCGTAAAACTTGAACCTCATGCGCGATCCTTTTCCTCGGGAAAGAAAGAAAAAAGAGTTTACATCTCCACACAGTCTCTCCCCTGCAAAATTCTTATGACAGACATGTAAATGCCTTATCGTTGCGCGCCGACCTTGTCGCCGATTATATCGATAAATCCGACGTAGGAGAGCTCTGCGAAGCGGATGTCGGATAACAAAATGGGCGGGAAGACTGGCGGAGACAGACGAGAATAGAGACAGAGAAAGGGAGCGAGAGAGGAGAAAGAAAACTTGTATGGGATGCGAGTAAAAGAGCGGTAGCTCCTTTTTATGATCCCCATAGGAGCAGCCGTATGTAATGCTGAGGAGCGAGGGGAATTTCAGCGGAAACGCGCGCTACAAGGGCTTCTGCATCGACCTGCTGAAGGAGATAGCGCACATGGTGGGCTTCGCTTACAGGATCGAGCTCGTGCCGGACGGCAAGTATGGCGTTTACGATTACGAGACCGGCGAATGGAACGGGATAGTACGCCAGTTGATGGATAAGGTGAGTGTCTGGATAGGTAAGACGCACGAATCTCGTGCGTTTATACGCGTAATTATTAATTCGAATTAGCGATAAGAGAAGAACATAGTTTATATTCGAAACATTCGAAAAAAAAACTCGTTCTTTCTAAGGAATCATGACAATTATTATGAAGATCAAGTATGTATGATTCTTAAAGCGAAATATTGATAACAGATATTAGTGTTTCAACGTCATTTTCTCATTCGCGTGGATCTTCTAGGTACATTAACCTGCTATTAGTGAGTGTCGATGAGTGTATGAAACATGGACTGCGATGAACTTTCGAGATGAGATGCTGACATTACCTGATACGGCGGTATAATTTACCCGTAATAGAAATGATGCTTACATAGCAGTATATTACACAATCTAGCATGTTTAGAGATTGTTGACTGTCAAGTCCCATGGAGCACAGATAGTTTTGATAAACACAACAAAGGGTGGTTAACCGAATCCCGATAAGGAACCTGTATTGACATTGGCGAGGAGATGCGTCCTCGGGAATTACATTTCCTCGAGGATGTATGTTGGATTACACACATGATTACATTTCACGTTGCTGGTGTTATCCATATAGTATAGGTATAGGGCGTTATCCTGTCAACGAGCAAACTAGGAGACTTCACTCGGGATAACGCGACTTATAATTACTTGTTTTAAAAATTATCACTCTTCCTTACACATCCCCAAAACGCGATAGGCTGGAATATCGTTTCAGACACGCTCCGTGTTAGAAGGGCATTAATCATGCAAATTGGCGCGACCATAACTGCAGAGCCGAACGATACAGTGGGGTGTAACGTAATATCGGAAGCCATCGTGCCATTTTGTCACCGCATTCCGATTGGCAACCAGCGAATCAGTGCACTTTGCGTAGAGCTTAGAGACGCGACGCGTTGGATACCGTTCGCTTTTGCAATTCAAATGGCGGACAGATGCCGTGTATGAGCACGTTTCTACCGGCAAGGCGTGAAACTAGCCCGTATATTGCTACGTCTACATTTCAAGTAGCCGATTGATTAAGTGCCGCATACGCGCGCGCAATTCCGTTCTAGAGAATTTCAATATCCCGCTGACATTTGTAGCAGATGCGACGGCGACAGCGCCGCGATAACGATGTCAATCGCAAAGTCTGTCGCAAAGTATCATAGAGGGAAAGATACCGTCGTATAAAAGTAGTTTTTCCAACATTTAATGCATAATATTCTATTATAAAATATATTTATACTTTTATTAATTTTTATATTAATTATATTTACGTCATTTGTGACGTTTGTGCATCGCACCGATCGCAACGTATAGTCTAACGTGGTTGAAGCAATAAAAACCAAATGTATATATTTGCAGTTGGTTTTATCATGGATGAGAATGGATCGATTGTATTCTGGTCCAAATTTACGTTAACGTAGACCGCGAGAGCTTTCTCGATATGTTGTACGAAACACGCGAGTATATATTTTCTACGCTTCACAAACGAGATTTTCTCACGAGTGAGAGAGAAAGATCAAACGCGCCCGCTTTCATCCCTTGTTTTCACACGTACTTTCTTCACCCCGACACATTTAAGAGCGCGCTCGCGGTTTTCGGAAAGAACTAAGTAGGATGTAACCAGTCGTGTATCTAGCGGCGATATCTACATTCCAGAACTACTTTCGCCATAAATCCCGAACTTCGGGATTGGGTTCAGTATCCGGCTGCTGCGAAACTGCAAGGGCGCACTTTTATCACGATGAATAATGTATAATCCTGCGTGTAATAGAAACTACAACCTTGTATAGAAATAATTAATTCCAATGTAAGCGCGAGAGACGATACAGCTCCCGATGTAATACTGTTGGCTTTACAGATAACGTTAAAAGAGAAAAAAAAATATGTGCACATAGAATGTTTAAACGTGCATTTAATCAGATAATGAATGCTTGCGCAAGCACGAGGAGCTGTCGATATCGTAGCATTGATAACGCAAATGGAATAATTACACATGTTCAAACCTTGAAAAGAAAGAAGCGACATAACGATTATTAATCATCTCATATTTCTCAGTACATATTTGTGTTCTCTATATTTATTTTCAACATTTTTTTATATTTATTGAGATTTTCTATACTCTATATTTATTGAGATGCTAAATTATCAGTAAAAAGATAAATTTAAAAAAAAGTATTTAATAATGAGTATTTAATCATTCTTGAATTTAATAAAATCATTGTAGGAAAATTAATTAATTTATCTTCTTTAAACAATCTTTAATTCTCAGTTTTACTAAAATAAAATTATTTATACTCCCATAAAAATAATTTTTCTGTCTTTAAGAATAATGATACTTTTTTCGTAAATTAATTTCTGTATAATTATTAAAAATAGATAATTGTGAATAATTGTGCAACAAAAGGCTATGACTGAAATCTTGTTTTTCTTTATGAATAATAAGAAAAACATGAATAAAAATATAAATTTATATGTTTGATAAGGAAATATAGATACATATGTAAGAGCGTGTTACTTGTCGTGTAAAATATTTTATATAGTATATTTTATTTAGTATTATTACTACCTATAGTATACCTGATTCGAATCAGAGCGCATTAAACCCTTCTGACGCTTTATACTTTATACAATCGATACGATGATGAGCGTGAAAACGTGCGCGCCCGTGCACATATGACCTGACGTGGAATCATGAGAAATCGCGATACGAGTCGGCGAAATTTCTCATTTTCGTCGAGACCCGCGGACTGTCGGTCGTTACAAAGCGACCGGCACTACGTTATTCGGACGGCGATATTAATTTTGTCAGATGATCATTAATAATGCTCGCCGCAGTCGTCGCCCGTCCTCCCGTTCGCCACCCTTCCTCTCGCCCTCGTTCACCAAGAGAGCGAAACCGAGGACGGAAAAATGATGATAAAAAGGCGACGGCGCGTAATATGCCTAGAAACGGCGTCGTATTTTAGCGACTTAAGCATAGTTAAGCGGATCTCACTGAGAAGTCCACAGTCTGGAACGTCAAAGCGAAGATTAATCAGGACCAAGTCTAATTAGGTCTTAATTATCGTATAATATATTCTAAATCTTCTCTTATAGTTTAGACTTTGTTTCTTTCTAGAAACTTGCAATTATATAAATCCAACTTTAGATATAATTCTATAATTATATAATTTTAAATCTCATTATTTATGTGATGTTGAATATATTTTAATACATGTGCATATATTTCGCTTGTTCAAGTGTTTCTCGTATTACGTGAGACAAAATTGTGAATAGAAATTCTGTCTCGAATTTTACGCGATTTACATATCATTTCAAAATACTGTTGAGGCATTTTTTCGAGCAAAGATATTATTTTACATGTGAAAATATATAAATATAATATTAATTTGCAATTTAATGCAACAAGTTTTGGAGTATTCATTGACACGCGAAATATGCAAAATGTTACACGAGATATTAATTTTTCCCGCGTGAATTCTTCTGAATAGGATGATACATTGATATTTCATTTTTTTTATCTGAACACGTTGATAAATGGGATATCGTTTGTCGGCGCTATGCGAAAAGGTAACGAAGCTAAAAAACGAATGAACAAAACAAAAAAAATCCTTGCTCGCGATGTATCATCCTCGTCATGAAAATTATTAATCGACAAAGAGCGATATTCTCAAGCGTCAAAAGGGTTTAATGCGCTCTGATTCGAAAAAAAATGTTAAAGTAAATAATGCAAACATCGTACGCGCGGTATATAAATATTTCTCGCAAAGTCCTATGTTAAATTAATACCGCGCTCTTTTTTTCGGTGTATCTATGACTGCGGCTTCAATCGACCTCTGGCACGTTTCAATTTCTCCCCGGACACATCGGAGGCACGAAAACAGCATCGCTCGTTACTACATACATTCGCAAATGACGGCGCGATGCATCGCACTCCCCCGCACTGGCGCCGTGCCTGTCATCGCTCGCGAGAGCACGCCGCAACAAATTATTGCGACCGTCATCCATCGGTCGCATAAATCACACGCGAGAATTAGGGACGTCGCGAGCCTGAAATATCTTTCGCGGAATGAACCGGAGCTACCGTTTTACATCGCCACATCGATATCGACCATCGTTCGATAGATCTCCCGCGTCGAAATCCCCTATTCGCAGGATACGGCATTTGTAAAGCGCATGAGTTTTTAAAGCTTTTATAAAACTGTATTTTATAAAGCTTTATTAATAACTTTTAGAACATTTTTAATAAAAATGAAATTGTTAACGCGGATGGATGTTGTTGCAAAACTTTTTTCATGAATCATGTCTTGTTACAAACAATTGTTGTAAATATGAATATATTCTCGTTATATTATATTTATTGAGACGCCAAATTTACACCAAAAAAAAGTATTCAACTGCAAATTTAATAAAATCGCATTACAGGGAAATTAATAATATTTATCTTCTTTAAAAAAAAAATCTTTAATTCTTGATTTCATCAAAGTAAATAAAATTCATATAAAATAAATATAATAAAATAAATTAATTTTTTATAATTTAAAAATAATAATGCTCCTTTTTCATAAAATAGAATGGAATAGTTGACAAGAGGATAATTGTGCATAGTATATATAATTGAAATCCCGTTTATCATCAGAATAATAATGAAAATATAATTCATGTGCTTTATGGAGACCAATAAATAAAACCTAGATAGGTACATGCATGTAAGCGCATCATTTAGCGTGTAAAATATTTTACATAATGTCCAATATATTATTCATAGTTTTATATCAGGTATTTAGTATACCTGTAGATAGAGAAAATACAAATAAAATCAAGTAACAAGTAGCAGTTGCATGTTCAAATGAAATAAATAGGTGAAAAACAAATCGTCAAACGAGGCAGAGCTTTTCGTTTAAATACGTATCGCACGATTGAAATGCAGTCATAACTTTTCGAAATAAATACGTAAGGCATGAAAATCGACGTTACATATCGCTTTGCGACTAGAAATCGACGTTTCGCGAATATTAAGAATGCGAGGACATAAATCGTGTTTTGCCGACTCGTCGCGCAATAAAATTGTCGCGCAACGTGTACATTCGCGTACTTACCGGAAATATATAACATGCACCGTGACGTATGTATAGGCGCAGGGGAAAAGACAGGGGATTTCCCTATCTCGGTTGCATTGCCAGACCAGATATCCTCGACCTCCGTCTCGCTGCGACAGCAAGCCGGAAATAAATCTACCCAAACTACTGCGACTTCGCAGACGCTGAAAAAGCAGTTAGATATCGCGCCAAAAGTGCGTATGAAGAGTTTCTTCTCCAGGTGGCTTCGTTCAATCGTAGCACTCATGCTCGGCCATCGTCAGCTATTTCAACCGAACAAACCAACTGGCAGCGGCTCGATCACGATTGTTAGAATAACAGAAATAAATGAACGAAATGTCTCTTTTGCTCTTTGCTCTTTTTAATAACCGTATTCTCTTCATCATTTTCTCTTGTTTCATAGAAAGCTGATCTCGCTGTCGGATCAATGACGATTAACTACGCGCGTGAGAGTGTCATCGATTTCACGAAGCCGTTCATGAATTTGGGCATCGCGATCCTCTTCAAGGTAAGTAGTAAGGCGGTTCGCAGAAGGATAATATCTCCTCGAAATCGCGTAGTACCGCGCAATTAATCTCGTTACACAAAGTAGCAATTACATCCACATCTAATTCCAATCGAAGAGAGCAGCGACGCATTTAAAGCTACCTCTTATAAACCACATAATGCTTGGTTCGCGTTGGAAATGGCGCCACTCTCTGATAGCTCATATTTTTATTTCCCCCACATCCCGGCGCATTGTTGTCGACGAATCTTGATTCTCTCACCCGTCCGGTCTTGTTGGTCTTTCCTCCCTCCCTCATCCTGTGTATTTTTCCACATCGCGCATCTGTTATTCTTATTTGGTTTTTTTTATCGCTGTATATCCCCTATTGTTGTTGTTAGGCTATTTTCGTTTTCGTATCCGACTCGCTCCGCGCTCAAGGATCAACGCAATGTCGATGAAAGTTATGTGAAATATGACATCTCTGTCGATATTTCGCGTCTTCCTGTTTTTGTTTTTTCTTTAAATATTCGTCCGACGATACGAAGTGAAATGGCTGTTATCGAAAACGAACGGCGTATATTTTCCTTCTCTTTCTCTAGCTTGATAACGAATTTACTGGCGGGTAATTTTATCTGAGATAATGCCGTCAGAATAATGGAGGGATCTGTTATCCATATGACTGTAATTCCATCTGACTTTGGCTGACCATAACTAGTCCTTATCTACTTGCCCGTGAAACGACCATTGGTTGATAGCAGTCAGGGCCGTATAATATCACCGTATTTTACTGAAACAATTAGTTAATAGTTAGATGTGTAAATAAAACTGCGTATGTGTATAAAAAAATTGTAATAATTATTAATTATACATGTGGCAGTAGTAACTGATTACATATGATCCGACTCAATATCTATATTTTATATATAGAATATTATTCACAAATAATATATATCTGATTTTCATTTTTTTAACGGAAACGAGATACATATTATGTTCATGTTTACGTTTAAATCTTTCAATATGCACAAATAATTATTATTTAAACAACATCTAGAAAAAAATTACAATAATTATTGGTAACAAGGTATGGAGATATTAATGTGTATATATTTTAAGTAAATTATTTGACAATTTTATTTAATTTTATATAACATATTATTTTATTATATATTATATATATGTGTGTATATATTTACGTATATTTTAATAAAATATATTTATATATATTATTAATATATATTTTATTATGAATCATATTAATTTTTATAGATTTTAATTCGTTCTTAAAAGAATAAGAAACTAATCTGATTATTCAAATTAATTTAAAAAAATATGCACGCGTCTTATAAACAAGGGCAAAAAGAGTTATCCAGGTACCTCTCTACAGATTTGATCCTCGTTATAACTCTCGTTTCGGTTATAAAATCGCACTAACATAGTAATATCCTGGATCCTGGCGATGCATCCGCGCGCATCAGTGTGCACATGTTCTCGCTTATAATGGCGCGGCACGTGTTGTAGGACTGTAGGCAGACTAATTAGAGCCGCTCTCGCAAGTGATGGCGCGTAGGTGATTTAATAATCGGAATGTACCATCGATCGGCTTATGCGTCGAATTAGCGAGCCGGTTAATTCAATATTTGCTCGACGAACCGTTTCCTCATCAGTTTACTCTCCCTCCCTCTCTCTCTCTCTCTCTCTTTTTGTATCCAACCTCCGATTGTCTCTTCTCTCGATCTATCTTATCCGCTTGAAGCTTTAATTATTCTCACAATGTCCCGCAGGGAATTTCTTCCGACTCGCGGATTCCCGCGATCGATTTCAACGACAGTGCAAGAATCCCCTCCTGAAGTTTCGACTCGCGCTAAATAATTCGAGATGCTTGGATCTACGGAGTTAACTTCTCTCGGGCAGCTGCACTTTATACCGTAACGAGCGACGGTGGGATTCGCTTACTCCGAAGTTAATAATGGTATTGCGCCATAGTAGTAGGATCGCGGGGTGCGGGCGGGCGGGCGGAACGATACCGATGGAGAAGTTAATTTCTCGAGCTTTTGTAATAAAATTTTCGCGACGACGAGATCGCCTCATCCCACTGTGTCCCTCCGCTCCTACCTAGATTCATTTCTAATTTCTCGGTTTTCCGCGGAAAACCTGACATTTGGCCCGACGAAATTTATGGGCAGTTCCCGATCTCCTCGCCGTTGTAAAATTTTCTTTTTCCGCCTCTGCGTTTTTATTTCCCACCCAGCCTGCACTCTCTCCCGCTATAAAAGTACAATTTTCTTCCACTACCTATCTATATATCGAATCATTTTTTCTACCTTACCTTATAGCTACATTAATAATGAAGAATTATTAAATTTTATTAAAGTAATTGTTAAATAAATTTCCTCAAGAATCAATAAAATTAATTCATATGTGCATATTTGCGTAAAAGATTTATCTCTTATCGCTTTATTCCGAATATTATATTTTTAACCTGAATTGTCTATATTTTTATGTTATAATACTTTTTTTCTTTCATTTAATCCTTTTACTTGTTATATATTGTTAAATAAGTTATTACGATCATGGGCGTAGATATAAGAGGGAAAGAAGATAATTGCACATATTGTCTTAAAGATCCATACAATGCCCGAATGAAATTGCATTTCAATTTCCGACGACACAAATCAATAGCTTAATGAAGACAATTAAGCAAATTGTTGTTGTTCAATTAGGCGACAGTGACATAATAATCTTTGATTGTGAATTAATCATGAACTATGTATTATATTTTACAGTCTTTAAATTTCAAGATTTTACTCATAAATCTTCCTTGTCAAGATTGATATTATAAAATAAATATATAAAATATATGACATTCTCTTTTTATCTATCTTTCATTCATGATATTCGATTTTAAAAAAAAGCAACTGTTTATCGCATAATTCTACAAATCGATCGGACTAATTAGTTATAACTTGCGATAACTTGGAAATAATTCATTACAATTACATTTTCACTAATGACGGTGTGAAAAAGCCGATAAATGGACTTCTCATAAATTGATTAAGACGACGGAAGCTTCCTGACCGCGTTGATGACGATAGCTTGCTTTCCAATGCAGACTGAAGGCTCGTTTCTGTCTGAGTGGAATTTTCTTCCGACAAACACGAGAGAGAGAGAGAAAGAGAAAGAGGGAGAGCGAGTCTCTTTTCGTTGATTGCATCAATCGACGTCGACAAGCGTGAGCGCGCCTTCTAATTAATGTAAGGCGATCATTTAATTGCAATTAATGTTGCAGCCGTTAGCCATTCCCCGTATTCTCAAAGCGTCCTTTAATTATCCTGTTACCTATCCATTTACGACTCCATACGTATGTTACAATTATCATCTTATTATATGCTAGAATTGTTTCAAATATGAGATAAACCGATCTGTTATTATGTTAGCATTATAAATTCTTCGAGTGCGATATCAGTAATTTTACAGATCCAAAATGGTATCTTTATTTCTTTTTATCGTCAATAGATAATAGCGATATTTTTTACTTCATTTTCTCGGAATCAACATTCGCTTTCAAGAGCGAGCGCTAAATTATGCATCAGTTAATTTCGCTCGCACAAAAGTTATCGATGGCAAAAAAGAATCCACAGTTGGGAACTTTTAGTATCCGATACACTAGGAATAAAAAATCATTGAGATCGATTAACTAATGTAAATTTATTGAACAACGAGCTCGCTACTCCAATAAAGATCTCTAATAAATTTATCGTATCTTTTATTGTGCACATATACTGTATACGTATTTTTATATTTCTTTTCTACATCATTTTTCTTTATATTTTTTCCGTTTTATTCATTTTATCGTTTAATTTTTTAAACATTTGTGCAACGAAATAAATAAATTTAATAAATTTATATTTGACATGCAAATTACATATATGTATTTATAATGCAATGCAATGTAACAATTAAAAAATTTTATATATATTGTGGTTCGTGTTCATTGTAATTGTTATTTCTTTAAAAATATTCTGAAAAATATTTAAAAATTATAGACTGGTTAAATTATACATTAATTGAAGCATATAAATATAAAATCTCAATAAATGTATAATTGAATATTAATTCTAATGCAGGCAAAATTAATTTCGCATATTATATTGAGTATAATTGATATCGTTATATTTTTAACGTTAATTAAGAAAAGAATTATTAAACTTAATTAAAAATCATTAAACATTTAATGCAAAATTGTTTTGTTTTCTATATATATATATATATATATATATATATATATATATATATATATATATTTATATATATATATAATAACAAAATCCAAAACACACACATGAAAATTTTTATGCTATTTTACTTGAATAAGTGTTGTACTTCATTATTGTGTATGTATAAAAGAGGAAATAAATTTTACGTTGATATATCTTAATTAATTCGAATATATGCTCGAATGTATATGTACACAATAATAAAGTACAATAATTATCATTCGAATAAAATTGCATGAAAATTTTCATTTGTGTTTTAGATTTTGTTTTATATATACAATCATTTATTCATTTCTCCCATAAAAAATATTGCCAAACAATATATGAATATTTTATATTTTAATGTTAATTTTTATTTAAAATTAACATGCAAAGATTAATTTATACGTGGAAACATACGTATATATTTTGCATGAGGAAGATGTGAAGGTAGATATTTTTTTAAGATATTCATATTTTCAGTTTTTGGAAGATGAACATCCATTGCGGCGACGCGTATCAAAATGAAATTCCTTGCAGGTGCCAACCAGCCATCAGGCACGACTGTTCTCCTTCATGAATCCATTAGCGATTGAGATCTGGCTGTACGTTCTGGCGGCGTACGTTCTCGTATCGGTAACCATGTTCGTCGTGGCGCGGTTCAGTCCCTACGAATGGAACAATCCGCATCCATGTCACGCCGGGTCGGAAATTGTCGAGAATCAGTTCTCTTTATCGAACAGCTTCTGGTTCACCATCGGGACCCTCATGCAACAGGGCAGCGATTTAAATCCCAAGGTTTGCGCCCACTCGAGTATCGTAAACATAAAAAGAGCGTGAGAAAAAGGAGAGTTAAACCGAGATACGATTCTTTCATCCAATTATCAGGCTCTTATTTGTTTCTTATTTAGTAATTGTTACTTCAAACATACTTTTAACTTCTTATTTTAAAAGAAACCTTATTTGAAATTGCATAGATTTCCTTTTAGCATTGCATATGAAATTTATAAGAAATTTATAAGAATTTATTATCGTGATATCATTAATATTATTACATCATTAATATACTAATTAGCTTACAAACAATTCATTATCTAGTTTCATTAATACATAATAAATTGCATATTAGTTACAGCAACTGTATTGTTGCTTATTTTAATTTAGGAGAAATGTACGCTAAAAGGAGTATTAATTAATGTGACATTACGTATGTCACTAAGGATAATTATGAATTAAATTGCTTTCCTAATTGCGCGTATTGTCTGTATTTGGAATGATTATGTATTTGAGTGATTATCACAGATATTTCCGCAATGAATGTCTTGTATTGCGATGGTGAGTATACAAAAGATACTAAAGTGCTAAAGTTTGTTAGTGCAATAAAACGCGGGATTTGAATTAAAAAACCGAGTCAGAAGGAATTCATTTCAGGTGTCAGGTATATTCTCTAACATTGTACAATTCTTTTAATAAGCGAACACGAGCGTTTCCATTAAAGTAATCTCCAGTTTTCAATTGCGGACTTTAGCTTTCGAATTGGTTTTCAAACACTGAGAGTTTTATTTAACAAAGTGAAATATGTTAATCCCTGAAACGATTAAAAGGGATGAGAGTATTGGCTTAGCACCAGCGTTAATGAGAAATTAACGTTAATGAAAATTTAAAGATGCTATTACAAGACACTGTAATAGACATGCGAGAATATACTACAGGAAAGTAATCATACATTTATTTCAAATATTAAAAACAAAAACACTTATCCAACACATTATTAGCAAATTAGACCTTCTTCACAAAATGTTAAAAATGATTTTGACAAGCAAACAATCCTGAATTTATTTAACCTTGTTATCAAAAACTCTCTTCAACTCTTCTGATGACATGCCTCTAATAAAAGCTTCAAGATTTTACACTTTTATGTTATTAATTAAATGTAACAGATACATAATTATTTTTTGAACACCTTGTATAACATTTATATTTAAATTTTTATCGTAATTAATATAATCAATATTTAGATGCATATACGTCTATCTATTATTGTTTGACAGTTGAAAAAAATTAATACAAGTTAATTATACTGGACTAAGTTAATTTTCATAAAACGATCGCTTTATCAGGCTACGAGCACGCGTATCGTGGGAGGCATATGGTGGTTCTTCACGTTGATTATCATCTCATCCTATACTGCAAATCTGGCAGCTTTCCTCACGGTGGAAAGGATGATTACGCCGATAGAGAACGCTGAAGATCTTGCCAGCCAAACTGACATTGCGTACGGAACTCTCGACAGTGGAAGCACAATGACTTTCTTCAGGGTGATTAATATTTTCTTGGTTATTTATTCGCGAAATAGATAGAATGATAATGCTAGTATTAATGTTTGTGCAATATTATCAATCTGCAAAATATAAGAACATAACTCTATGTCTCTTCCGCACGCAAAATGTTCTACAAATATTTAAAAATATATAAAAACTATATTTTTTAATTATACAAAAGAACTCATTTTTGTTTATATATAAAGAAATTTCACCTGCATTGTGCATTAATATTCTTGTGAGTTTGTATCAAGTTTATGATCAAACAATGAATGTGCCATATAATCACGCGATCGATCCAAAAGTAATTTTTTTGCAATTATTTTGATAATATCACACGAGTTTGCGAAAGTTTCAGAGTTTTCGTTGATAACATGTTTTTTCCTCATTTCGAATACATGGAATTATTATATCAAAACGGAAATTTTCCAAAATTTTTTCTTTCTTGAAATATCAAATACATTTGTTATTTTTCTCAAATGCCACTCATGTGTTCGATAAATTGAATTTAAAACACATACCAAAACTTTTCTATTTTATTATCTTACAATATAACTCAATCTGTTTTTTATGTCTTTTACATTTACAATGAAAAATAGAGATCTAGATCATCAATCAATTTTAAGGATTATTTATTAATTTGTGAATCACGAAAAGAGTCTTTAGTTTATTTTATCAATTTATGCTATCAATGCTGGAATACGAGAAAATTAATTTACTTTGATAATGTAAGAAAAAATGATTTACATTTTTCATTTCTGTTGCGATTGAAATAAAGAATCAGAAATCTAAATTATAAAATAATATTCAATCGATATAATAATAGCGAATTTATATGATGATAATGGAATCTAATTTTTTCTATATTTCTTCAATCTCGGTCAAGGACTCAATGATCGAGACGTACAAGAAAATGTGGCGATTCATGGAAAACAAGAAGCCATCGGTATTCGTGCCAACTTACGAAGAGGGTATTCAACGGGTTCTCCAAGGTGATTATGCCTTCCTGATGGAGTCGACTATGTTGGATTACATTATCCAAAGAAACTGCAATCTCACGCAAATCGGCGGTCTTTTGGACACTAAAGGATATGGTATCGCTACACCTATGGGTAAGTATATACGTATGTATGTATATATGTATATGTATGTATGTATATATATGTTGCAGTTTTTTTTATAAAAAAGTTGTGTATATAAAAAAATGTTATACAATTTATATATATAAATATTTATATATATATTTTATATATTTTATATATATAAATATTTAACGAATTAATCGAACGAATGCATTCCGATTCATCTTTTCGTTTGGTATATATAAATATTTAATTCACTATTCGATTGATTGCGTTCCGACTCGCTTTTTTATTCGATATATATAAATATTACACTTAAGTGTGAGGCCAAGAAGCAGATTTCGGATATTCACTGTAAGTCAGTCGCTCCTCGGGCGATCGGGACGAGATTTAAACGGTAGTGCCGCGAAATGGTGTAGAATTTTATGCAAAAAGAACGAAATCGCTATCGCGTCCGGAAGTCGAGATATAAATTGGCCATTTTTCGTCTGCGCGCGGACGGTCGAAATCGGCTTGCCACTTTACTCGCCGCGTTACAGTGAATATCGCGCGAGAGAGGCAGGCAACATGTGCGGCGTCGTGCACGATTTCAACCGTCCGCGCGCAGACAAAAAACGGCCAATTTATATCTTGACTTCCGGACGCGATAGCGATTTCGTTCTTTTTGCATAAAATTTTACACCATTTCGCGGCACTACCGTTTAAATCTCGTCCCGATCGCCCGAGGAGCGGCTGACTTACAGTGAATATCCGAAATCTGCTTCTTGGCCTCACACTTAAGTGTAATATTTATATATATCGAATAAAAAAGCGAGTCGGAACGCAATCAGTCGAATAGTGAATTAAATATTTATATATACCAAACGAAAAGATGAATCGGAATGCATTCGTTCGATTAATTCGTTAAATATTTATAATTATACACTAATGTCATACACTAATTCATAACAGTTTATTTATTGTTTTGGAAAAACAAATCTCGATATTTTTTTTAAAACGAACAATATGATCAACAAACTGAAATTTGTAATTGGAACAATATTTGCAAATATATATATTTTTATCTCAATTTTGAGAGAGAGAGGGAATGTGTGTAATATGTATTTCCTACAATATTTTCTGTTTTCCAACAATTTTATATCTGATGTTATATGTATTGCGTATTAACATATTATATTGAGTATGTGTCAACATATTATATTGACTGTCCCATATGCATATAAAATACAACTTTAATTCTTTGCAAAATAAATTTTTTTTAAATAAATTTAAATATCAGATATAAAATAAATGTAAAAAATATTTCGTCACATCTGCGTAATAATATATATAATTTTCAAAAAATTCCGCTTTTTCTGATTCTTTGAAAAATCTTTAGGCTCTCCATGGCGAGACAAGATATCTCTGGCAATTCTGGAATTGCAAGAGAAAGGTGAAATTCAAATGCTATATGACAAATGGTGGAAGAGTCCTGGAGATACTTGCATGAGAACAGAAAAGGGAAAAGAGAATAAAGCCAATTCTCTAGGTGTCGACAACATAGGTAAGCGCTTTTTTCCTGAAATAGCGCATAAAGTTTAAATTATACACGCCATAAGTAATTACAATAATTTTCTGTAAAATCATAACTCAAGAATGCCTCGTTACATTCGCGAATATTTTTATGCTATTCTCTTATCATTCTTATGTTAATAAAAATGACTATTAAACATAATCTTTTAGAGACAGAAATTGCTGAACGTTTAAAATAAACACATTCATATTTAATTATATATTTTTTCTTAGTGATATTTATATATACTTTCTAATAAATTATTCAAAGTATTTTAAACGTAGATCTTATCAAATTATTTAATTATTTGCATTTATATGTATTTCGAAGTACTGTATTCATCTCTATTAAAATTCTCTATCGACGTCTTATGCATCTGCTCAAGAATTACGTCTTGTTTCTACTTAGGTGGAGTTTTCGTGGTCTTACTGTGCGGCCTGGCATTTGCCGTGCTTATAGCCATCTTCGAATTCTGTTACAATTCCAGAAGGAATGCACCGGCGGAACGGGTGAGTATATTGAACTTGAAAATCAATATTAAAATAGGTTTCGATAAATCATCGTCAGTACATTCGCGTTGCATGATTCCACCCAAATTCTCGATTGTAGATGCTCGTTTGAATAACTCTCAAGCTACTATTTTTTGTTGCGCTATTATAATACTATGTATTTAAAATTAATTAGCGCAAAATCTTGTCAAGTAAATGTCATAGTAAGAAACAAAGCAGAGGTTGCATTTTCAAGCATATCATATCTATCGAAGCGGACGATTAATCTGACAACTGGAGTGTTGAGAGATATGCATGAATCGTACGTAAGCATTGCATGACGTTCCCTGAATTTTGTTCTATCGCTACACTATGGATTCAACCGTGTATCAGCATGAGCTCATCGTCCATTGAAGCATGCCGCTCGACTGCAACTCGCCCCAAACTCAATTGCAAAGAGAGGTCCGTCATTGTAAAAACTTTTTACGAATCTGCTTGCTTCAGCACACAAGCTCTTTCTAAAATATTACTTTTAAATATTTACATATTTTGCGCAAAAATATTAATAATTTTTTATTTGTGCATCATAGCACAAGATGTGGGATGAATTAGCGGAAAATGGAAAGTAATTTTTTGTTAAAATGTTAATGTTGAAAGGGAAATCTATTTTTCAAAAATCTTAAATAAAAATTTTAATATTTTAGATCTATAATTAAGATTCAGATTATATATTTCTATTATATTAAAGTTCTCTTTAAAATTGTACGATTAATTATTTACTTTCGCTTGTATATTCAATGCAGTTGATAACTCGAAAAATGTTCCACAATGAGAAATAATATTATTTATTCCTTGTCGCTAATTCTAAAACATCCTTCTATGTTATAATACATCTTATTGTGCTTCTCATTTTTAATAATCATGATCAATAACATACACAAATAATATGTCGTGGGTTGTGAATGTAGCAAAGGCCTCCGATGCCTTCGACACCTATTTCGGGTTCTCTTCAGGGGATTTCTCAGGCTGTGCAACAACAGCAGCAGCAACAACAACAACAAAGCCAGCAACATCAGCCTCAATCTCAACAACAATCGAATCAAGAATCACTTTGCTCGGAGATGGCACGTGAATTTTGTCGTGCTTTACGTTGTCACACGTCATCTCGACGACGACGCACCTGTGACAAATGCTCCACGCACGTGATCGGCTACTCGCCAGACAATCCCACTGCCACTCCCATAAATGGGATCAGATCTCAGGTAATAAATTCCCCTTTATCCTTTATTAATCTATCAATTGATATCTTTTTTCTGCAAAATGCCAACACAGATTAATTAATAGCACGTAATTAATTAATAATAAAAATAATATATTTATCTTATATGTAAATAAAAGTGAATATAATTATCTACTCGGAATATATAATAAAAGTACCAAAAATATTTTTTTCTCAAATATTTATTCGAAAATTGATTTGCATATCTTTCGTGTGCAACGAAAATATAATATATTATATATATGAAATATAATTATATATTACCTTGGTATGTTCACTTTTTTTAAGAAAAGATTCTGATAACGATACATTTCTCTTTGATCAAACTGATATTCCTATCTTTTATATTCGAAGCCGACTTTATATCCCATTATCATAGCTTTATCCAGGAGAGAAGTCAATCCTCCCTGTTATATCGTTATTCAATTTTATATTCACCGAGCTTCTATATCCCCATGTTCATTAAACTCATAATTGCATTCAAATGTTCTTTAATTAACAAGCGGATTTACGGGTACGGAATTTATTATATTACCATTCTTTCTGGGGAAATAATTCGCGCAATAAATATATATATATATATATATATATATATATATATATAACAAGATGGAAACATTTTATTAATGTGATTAAAAAACCTACGTAATTTATTAAATTTCGTATTAAAAATGTTTCATAATTTGCTACAAATTAAAAGCCAACGTTTCAGTTTCTAATTTAAAATTTGAGACCCTGGAGAGATCACAAATTTCAAAATGGTTAATAAAGTGTATTGTAAATAAATAATTATAATAAAGACTAAAATAATTGAACATACTATATGAATTAAATTACACACAATATAATAATTAAATAATAAAAAATAAAATTACAGTCGGTGGTAAAATTACGATTAAAAAAGGACACACATGAATACACTTATTATAATATTATATAAAATTTCAAATTTCAAAATATTTTACACAGACGACTGAGTCATTGATATTCATGTAAATGTTATATAATCGTGTTACAGAGAAGCAGCCTGACCGTACCTGTAGTCGAACTGCCTCCACACATCCACATGCATCATCACGCACCGCCACATGATTATGACGGCAATTAGAGGGACGTCGTCTTTAGCAAGACGAATCTCGATGACATTATCGTTAGTCAGAAATAATTACAAAGCGTATCACACATGCGCACATCACGGAAAGCAATTACGATCGATTCATTGATAAAGAATGGACCCTCATCAAGAAAAAGTATCGACATTCAGAGAATTTTGCACAATATTTAATAAAAGCGTTTGTCACGTTCCCGACATTCGCAATCATGAAAAGAGCTTAATTTTTATTTTGTAAACGTGTGTCGCTTTTTCGCACACATCTGACAAATCTATCGAAAAATCAACATGATACTGATCTAATTGATAAAATAATGTAACAGCTCTAAAATGATTTCCCTCTTGGCCGCAAATTTTGTACGATTAATCAATTTCTGAAACGATATAATTATTTTGAGACAAAGCATGCTATTATATTAAATATACGTTGAGATGCATAATTCAATATATATATATGTCTAAATTGAAAAGTAAGTTGTAATCAATTCGCGCAATACATATTAATTCTCGACTTTGTTAAAAGAAATTTCCCTTGCAGTCAAGATCTAATTGAATTAAGCTGTTTGACAACGAATTTTAATGCGTTTCAACGAATTGAATATTTTACGTAAATAGACTGTAAACGCTTCAGTCTCAAGTTTTATTTAAATTATCATACGCGCCGAGATTGTATAAAAGGATCTAAGTATAATCTATCAAAAAATTTAAGATGTACAAAAAAGAAAGCTTTTCTCCTCTTTTATATTTTTTTCTTTCATCTTGTGAAATAAAAATTATCTAGCGAAATGTGTTTTTTCCCATTTCCAATTCTGACTTTTCTTTAGCGCATACAGTCTTTTTTATGTCAAGTCTTCAATTATTATGAGAAGTAAAGATTGCGAAATCAATCTGTTAAGCATTAAACCCTCAATTCTATTTAAACTGATGCAAGATCAAGTTCTATCAAGAGAGTAGTACGCTGAATCTATAACGATAGACGATGAACAATCCTCCGTCCTACGTTTAGAGAACTAAATGATCTGATATATCCGCAATGACGCTGATATATCATAGAGCACATTCATGCTACTCTCTCGCACGAGATCCAATGCTCGATTCATGAACAGAACGATTTTTAATACATTCTGTAAATGCATTCTTTCTCTTTTTCTTGCTCTCTCTTTCTCTATGAAAGACTGCTAAAGTGTAAGGTACTTGCGAAGTATTCTGTAAATATCGTCGCGGATAAAAAAAACAGAGCAATCAAATTCGTAATGGAAATATTTTATGCAAAAGTGAGTTATGCGAGTGAGTAATCATTAGTACTAATGGAGTACAACTTAGATGTTTGGTGTCATGTAACGTCGTATGCTGTAACGATACTGATAGTCGGCGAATAAATGTAAGATAAGAGAATCATCGTTCGCTCTTCTTTTTAATCCTCTTCGAATTGTAATCTACATCAATTTAAAATAAAAATTGTGAAAGAATTATTAAAAAACTAGCAAAAGAAAATCATAAGTTTAATATAAGCAAACTAATTTAACTTAAGATCAGACTAAAATTAAAGTTATCTGAATCGACGTTACAAATAAATTAATATTTTGATATCACATCAAAATATACATGAATTGTATCAAATCGCTCTTAAATTAGAGAGGTGCAAAATACTGAGAAACGCCATCGACACAGAGATTGTCTTTTTTATATAACATCATTTATTAAGGGATAAAATAAATGACAAATAACATATCGCTTATATATATATGAAACTATAATATTTCTTAGTGTTCATTATTCGTTATGATATAAAAGAAATCACATCACATACGACCCCCCCTTCCTCCAGGAGCCGCACTTATGGCGGCGATCGCTCGAATATTCACACACGATATACGACGAAATATCGCCGGACAATACGCAGATTAGCGGGAACTCAAATTCCGCGGAATTCCTAAATGAGAGCCTCGAAGAGAGGTCGCGAGTTCGTGTCGATCCATGATAAGATTAGGCTACGACCGCGACGCTTAATCAAATCAACATGACCGAGATGTTACGACGAGCTTCGCATGCGAGGAATTCCTTCTATCTGATCTTAAGTGTTTTTCGAAATCTCTTTCTCGTCGGTGCAATTAGTGAATTATTATCAAAAAGGATGTTTCTCTTTTTATAATTCATGGACTAAATCTAGAGAGCACAAAACGAGAAAAGAGAAAACATTTTCCTCCTTTTATCGCTCTACATCCAATTACTCAAAAGTGATGTGCAATTAAAAAAAAAACTCTCGATGATAGTAATTCGCTCAATAATCGAGAAGGGGGGGCCTGGTCAAATCACTTGTAATTATCACACAATCATTCCCGATACGGTGGCATGTACTATTTTTAATATGCTTTTTGTGACTTTCGGAGGTGGACACTCGGTTTTGCACATTCGTGCTTTTATTCACTCTTTCTTTCTCTCTCTCTCTTCCTCTCGCACTTTTTCTATCATTCTCTCCCTCTCTTTCTCGCTCTCTTTTTCTCTCTTGAGAATACCCACTTCAGATAATAGTGGACGACAAGCTTAGATCCAATTCAACGTCTATATGTACATAAAAATTTATTTTTTTTTTACTTTTTTAAAAATGCTTCACTCCACCATGCGCATCTTCTTGCTCCTTTCTCTGACACTTTTTCTTTTTCTCTGTACTCGTCCACCTCCAATATTCTCACTATATACTTTACCGAGGCATCAACTCGACTCGAAATCTCAACATGCCCTGCCTCGCGTGTCCAAGAGAGAAACAGAGAAATTGATAAAGTGGAATTATGATCAAACACGAGATACAATCAAAGATCTCTCTGTTCTTCCGGTAGAAGAACTTATATGGACATTTGAAATGCGTTCAAAAGATCAATTGAAAAGATAGTATAATGACATTATAAGTGTATTTCAAGTATCTTGTTGACTTTGCAATAATTTTATATTTCGTTACGTGAAAATTAGAGATCTGTTAATATCCGATGTTTGATCGTATCCTGCTGCAAAAGCATTCATTTATATACGGCACGCACGACTTAATCATTTTTTCGTAAAAATCTCGATTTCTTCTATTTTTTATCTCTCCATCCCTCCCCTTCTCTCTCTCTCTCTCTCCTTCTCTCTCTCTCTCTCTCTTTCTCTCTCTCTCTCTCTTGCTCGCTCTCTGTTTCTCTCTTTCTCCTATCATATTTTTCTTCTTAGAATCGCAAAATTATGATCTGCCGCAATATGTGGTTCGCTACAGCGGCATTCACGAGTGAATCCGCGAGAATTTCTCGCATTTAGAATACAAAAAAGAAAAAGAATAATGAAAAAAGATATGGAGCAGACGCTCATAAACGTCCGTAATCGTTATAACGCCCTTCTCTCGTTACTACGACGATTTTTTTTCTCCCTTTTACAAATTTTACGCATATTTCTATTTTCTCTTCTTGTCTCCCCTTCTATAACTCTCTTTCTCTTTCTCTGTTTTTCGCAATTACTACATTATGAGATCAATCTGCGCACACGATTATCGCGAACACTTGTTGCGATTCGTTATTGCTCTCACTTACATCGATAAACTTATTATGAAGTCTCTCTCTTTCGCTGATCGTAAAATGAACAATGCTAATAATGACAAAAATTGGCGAATATAAAGACACATAATTGGAAAGATAGAACAAAAGATATTGATTTATGTTCGAGAGCAATAATGTAGAATATAAATAACGCAAAAGAAATAAATAAAAAACATGAAAGAGAGAGAGAGAGAGAAACTAATTTAAAAGAGAGAAGAAAGAAGAGAAAAAAGAGAAAATGGAAAAAATTCGACTAAGATCTCATAGGACTCGTGTAGCGCCGTTTTTTTTTCGAAACATGTTAAATAAATAAAATTCTATATAAAATCTTATATCTTTTCTTATAGAATTGGGATGTATTAAAAATACATATCCGCGTATATTATTATTTTTATAAAATTCGAAAAGAATTGAAATAACTTTCGCGATACAATTACCCTAAATGATAAACGTGATTATTATGGTAATTAATGAATTTTCACTCATCTGTGATTGCATAACGCGCCGAAAACACATACGAATTGAAACCTATATTATTAGTCACTTAAAACGGTATTAAAAAAAGGGATTGGAGTTACGTAAAACCATTGTGTATGTCAGAGAAATCGTGATACTTATAAACTAAATGCGCGAATAATTTTGTTCCTTAAATATTCAGACACATAAAGTAATCGTATAAAATATTCGTGAGTAAAAGCTATCGAATATTTCACCATCAGTACAGAACGGAGTACATTTTTCTTTTGAACTTATGTGTGAACATATTTTGCGTAAATAATTTATAAACTGATACGTACTATTGAAATTCGTGATCGCAACAATACTCCCCTTATACATCTCTTTGGTTTGAACTTCGGATACTCGTATGACGCGAGTTTGATTAAGAAATAATGTATTATAAAATCCAATGATCAATTTTGATTTTTAAGAATTTGATATCATCGTACGTATCCTGGTAAAAAAAATAAGACGTCCGGATTTTTCTAAACTCATCGATCGCGATCGACAATTTTGTGAATTGCCGGGAGAACGAAAGGGAGAGGAAGAGATAGATAAATAGAAAGATATATAAGGGAGAGCAGAGAAGAGAAAGAGAGTTTCAAAGTGGAGACCGAAAAATGACTTAAAGAAAAATACAAGAAAGAACAGAAAAAACTGGAAATATTGTCGTTAACATGACAAAAACTGCGACTTTGTCGCAAAATCGTTGCTTCCTTCCTTCAGTTGCCATTCACGAACAACGACAAGACACAAAGCAATGAGAGAAAAAGTTCGATCGCCAAAAAGTTATTGGTTCTGCCGATTTGGCTGTTCCGCTCTGGCGAGACGAGCTCTAAGCGATCGCGCGAGACGCGTTTTTCTTTCTCTATCTTAAATTCTCGGAGTGATATGTAGAGACTTCATCTAAGGAAACAAAAAAACGCGTCGCTTTGTTGGTCGAAATGTCTCGCTGTTGCTATCCACGTTTTGTTCCGCATCATTCGGATTGTGCGCGTGTGTGTATGCATGTCTCCATATGTGGACTGGTACTTTGGAACACGATTTTATATCGCCGGAATAAATTTACTTCCGGATGCCGGTAAACTAGAAAATTAAAATCGAGAATCGGAACCGGTGTAATTTATCGGAAAATCTAAATATCTATAAATAATTGATTAAAATAGATGGATTTGGGATTGTGAGAACATTTTCGTAAAATTTTGAACGACGCATTCATAACATTATTTTGAAATTCTGATATTTTGTAGAAAAAATTTACTTTGTATGTTATTATACATATATTAGATAAAAATTTTATTTTCTATTAAAAATTTTAAGTTTCATATTTACATATATAATAAAATAATATATATTTTGCATTTATACATATTTAATAAAAATGTTATTTCGCGCCCTTTTTATCGCCCGAATTATCACAATTCACCGAAATTACGCCAGTTTCAATTTTTAGCATGCGTCTTTGCTCGCTATGCGTCACTTATCACCGTTCGTTCAATCGAGATCATAATAATTGTTCATAAATTTGCATTCCAAAGTACCGACATTCTGATATCGTTTAACACACATGCGAGTAAATCGATTATTTGGAGCGCGCCGAACACAATACACGCACACATGCACAGTTATACAATAAAGAGACATTATAATTACGAATGATATACATAGAATTGTCAAACTTCTGTATACGCGCTCTCCTTTTTCTCTCGTTCTCCCTTTCTCTTTCTCTCGCCAAGTTAATTTTAAATATGCGTATATATATATATATATATATATATATATATATATATATATATATGTATGTATGTATGTGTATTATATACATATGCATATATATATATATATATATATATATATATATATATATATATATATGCATATGTATATAATACACATACATATTTACATTTGTTTTGTGTGTTTGTGTGTGTGTATTTGTATGTGTTATACATATAAATGTAGATATATGCGATCACAGAACACGTATAATTCGCGTGTAATAGTTTGTGCCACATTCTTCGTGTGTATGTGTATACCTTAACAATCTATTATAAGGATTTGATTTGTGTTTAAACAGCCTCTCCTCGATCCTCCTCGTGCACAACACTTTGACACCGTTTGTTCAGTGTCCTCGCTGTTCTAACGATCGTAATTAATCGCCGAGGGAGAGACAGGGCTCCGTCAATTGTGTATTGCGTACCCCATCGCTCTATTAAGTTCTCTCTCTCTCTTTCTTTCTCCTCTATAGTGCATTATATTAGAGGCTACGGAGGGAGGCTATTAGAAGGCATGGAAATTCGTTGATAAACACCTACGCGCGCGTGTGCGCATGATATTGGGCGTCGAGAGAGATTGGTGTTTTCGTGGTCGGTCGCGGTTCTCATACGAGTCTAGTAATCCCGATCCACGCTTTCCTTCGTGCCATCTTCCTCCCTCCTTCAAATTACGAATTATCGACACAGAACGAGTACAATAATTTTTCTTTCTCCAATTCAAAATAGCAGCCGAATCTTCTTCTCGTGCAAAACTCGACATACGCGGTATACGTGATACGCAAACGAAGTAGATCGATATTTATCATTCAATACGAGTTTGGCGAGTTGAGACAAATATTTTTCAAGTTTCGTTTCCAACCAAGACTTTAATCTCTCTTATTTAATTTGTTTGCCGACAAGAATAATAATATTCAATTCTCAAAAACCGATCTATCTACTGTATCTTAATATCAAGATGAAAAGACAGCTTGTTCTTGGATGATTGAAAGCAAGCGATTTGCGATGCTTTTCGCATTCGGCTAAACGATAATAGAGCGCGTCATCCCTCAGTAAATAAACACAGCCGACAGGCATTGCTTCTCTCCGCGATCGCGTGCATCGAAACGTGTATATGAGTGTATATGCATATGTGTACGTGTATGTGGTGCTGCACGTGATCGCGGATCGTCCTACAATCTAAGGTTTGCTCGACATATGCGTATAACGAATGGTAAGTAGATACAGTTTTACGTTAGCTTTCACGTTCCTTTTTGTTTTTATGAGATGGAATCATCGAAATAAAACGAAGATAAAACGCATCATGTATATGTGTATATTGTACATATAATATTTTTTACTTTTGTGTCGGGTGATAACTTGTTAAGAAGGAAAATTAATTGTAAGATTAAATTAAGAAATCTATTAACGCTAAATTAAGAAATCTATTATCGTCAGAGAAATCAAATTGTCACGAACTTGATGTCAACATCGAGAGAGAAATCGTCTCTTTTGTATACTTATATGACGATAACTTGCAATGTGTTGTGTATGTGCACAAGAACGAAAGACTCGGAGACGAAATTGAGACGGATTCAGCGTTAATAGATTTCTTAATTTAATTTTACAATTAATTTTCTTCTCGACAAGTTATCACCCGACCCAAAAGTAGAAACAAAATATTGCGCGCGGAGCTAAAATTTTGTTTCGTGTATGCACGCATTTGATGATACGTTTATCCATGAACTTGTTGGCGAATGGCGCAAAAGATCGAAACATAAACGCAGAGAAATGTGTATATGTATAAAATTAAAGCCCGACGCGAAAGCTACTAACAGGCGAGAGCAAACTTTTTTTTAACAGATCTGAAACATAAACGAAACGCACAAATAACAGTCTGCTACGATGCCGAACGTAGAAAAATACAAGTGTCTATGTACAAAACAAATTATAAACTTTCCTCTCTTTGTCATCCCTAGCCTTGTCTTTTTTTCTGTCTGTTCACACAATCTCTTTCTCTCCTCTTAGTTCCCTCTCTAATTCTCTCCCAAACATGTACGAAAGAAAAAGCACTCTGCCGATCCTATATATCCGCCACAAACTATATTAACATTATTATGAATAGACGCAACTTGCGATCGATGTCATTATTAATAAATCGCTCGAGGAACAAAGATGCATTGAATGCGCCATTAGATCACGTAGCAAGCGCAGCTAAACGGCCACGTATTGCAATTCTTTGCATCTTCCTTTCCTATCGACTCATATCTTCCTTTATTTCGTTTCTTCTTTCTTCCTCACTTCTTCATTATCGCCTTTCCTTAATTAAAGAATCACGATTGCTCTTTATCACCGCGATTCACGGTGAAGTTGACGATGAAGTGGCTTCATGATGTCGCGCACGTATATGTGTATGTTTCACACATGAAACTCGATGATATCGCGCTCACTCGTTCCTTCCATCTCTTGCGCAGATCCCGGGAATCCGGATAGCGCGGAGAGTGGTTTGAGAAAACAAATCGACAAAACTGACAGACAGCAGATAGACGAAGGGATGACGCAAAACTCCGCTTTAGGTCATGTATCGCATCACGGCACGAAGAGCATATAGCAATTCCGCTTGCATGCGAGCCTCTAGAATCATCAGGTTTACATGGACCTAGAAAAGAATGCAACAGAAACATGATTTAGCAATGTCTCGTTCTACTGTCTTATGTAAAAATAAATTTTTCTTATGTTAATATAATTCTTTTTTCTTTTCGTAATTTTAAATGCCTCAAAGACGCAAAATGGTTAATTATTTGAAGTGCTCCATTTTATACACCATTCGTACGACCTAATCTTAACTATCACGAGAATTAAGTAGCAGAGAAGCTATTTTTAACCGAACTATGTAATGCGTAACACTTTGTATTTAACACGTTTAACTTCTGAACTTATTTACATAAATTGCTGTTCATTTAAATTTCTATAAGATTTGACATTTTTAAAGTAAGAGAATTGATGCAACATTATCGCAATCATTTTATCAGTGAATTAATATGCATATAAAATCATCGCACAGCTTCAAAATAAAAGACATTACGAAAAACTTTTTTTCTTTAGTTAAATTATTTTAATCAAACGCGCGCAGATTAAAGTGATTGTTCAATGACAAAATTATTTAAAAGTTCAATGACAAAATTATTTACGTAGCATGGCATGAGAAAAAGTTTAAAAGATTAAAAAATCTAATAATAACATCTAAGAAATATAAAATTAATAATATATAATAAAAAGAGATTTACTCACAATAATTTTCTTATGAAAATTTTAATATAAACATTGAAATAAAAAAATAAGACATTAGCATTAATTGATATACGTTACATTATTATTTAATATATGTTACGTGTTACCAGTACTATTTAAATTACTATAAATATTTCAGTTTTTAAGATAGTCATTCTTTATTTAACGACGCGAATATTTTGATACGTTATTTCGATTAACGTTTAATGAAATTTAAAAAAATTCTCAAGAGATTAATTTTACTAAATATTTTAATTCGGAAGATATATCTACGCTTACCTTTTCGCTGTGTTTGAACTCCCTCATGACGCGATCGTAATCCTTTTTAGTGACACGTTCCGGATAACAAACGGCGCTCTTGATGAAAGTTTTGAGGCTACGCTCGAGTAATTGATTCACCTCGTTATAATCGTAATCGTCGTGCCTGATGCCAAACATACACTGTATGTAATTCCAGATCGCCCGTCTGAAGCGCGATGTGTCGACCTTATTGTGCGTGCCCATGGTGTAGTATGTCAGATTGTACGCGGTCTTGAATTTATCGTCGAGAAGATTACCGACGTCGTTGTAAAGACGATTCACCAGGGAATAACCATGATCATCCCAAGAGTAATCCTGGACACGGAAGGTCGGAATATCGTTCAGCTGACCGCGCTGGAAAAAGGAACAGAAGAATCACGTTAAAAGAGAGAGCACGGTGCTGAAAAAAACAAGAAAAAAAAACTGCACCGTCGAGAGATCGCGAAAGAGATGAAAAAAATTACGTCCAAGAACAAAGCGAGAAATTAAATATATAACTTGAATTATACATCCGGCGCGAAGCAACTTGTTTTTTTTAATAACTTGCGCATAATTAACGCGTGGTATGATCTGTCGGCTCTGCCCCACCTTCGCACGGTTACCTCGAGTCAGCCCGTACACAACGTTGTTGTCGCGCAGTAAATATTCATGACAGTTACGCGAGCATCACCGTAAGCTTCGCGAGCGCGAAGCAAGCGCAGCTGACTTAAATATTCATGGATGAGCCGCACGCTAAAACCTTGAGAATATCCTTTCGGCTCTAATCGATTACGCACTACTTGTTAGGTATGCCAAAACAACGCGCGGAATCATCGTCGGAACGTCAAGTGAATAATATAAGATACGCGAATAACGTCGACGTTATCATAAAGGGACGAAGACCTTATCATAAAGGATCCAATTAAGGACCACATCGCAATAATCTATGAGAATGGGGATTCCAGCCATTCCAGGGATTCGGTTGACGGTTATTTTCGGTAGCGATGAGTAAACCTCACCTTAGCGAAATCCTGATAGATGAAGGTGGGATCCTCGATGAATAGACCGATATCTGAGTCAAGGACCGAGCTACTCCTCTGCGGCGCCGCCGTCAGCTCGGCTGATTGTGTTTCAACAGTCTCGAATCTCTTGGAGAGTTCTTCTTGCGTGATCTGGTAGGACTCGGACTTTTCCGAGAGGCGTTTCATACGTTCCATCAGAGTCTCCACGCCGACTTCCTGCTCGCCAACTATGCTCGGTGACGATGGTGGTGATGGCATATTTTCTGTATGAAATCAAAACAAAATCACAAATTAATATCACGGATTATTTGATATTCGTGTATAAAATTATTGCACGTATAATTCGCACAATTAAAAGCGTACAATTGAAAGATTCGAATTTAGTCGTTCAGTTACGATCGATATTATCTATAGAAAGGTATCTATAGTGAGTAGGTAAAGTGCAACGTACCGGTCTTACCGTCACCGTTGAGAATTTTTTTCGGACTGCTGGATAATTTATCTTTGGCGGGAGGTACGTTATTACTATTGTCCTGTATGTTCTCCTTGTAGTGGTGGCCAGTTATGTTATCCAATTCCTCGTTAATTCCACAGGAAAATACGAAAGACGATAATGAGTGGAAGTGAGCTAATAACACTATCGCTTGGACGACCTCAGCTAAGGACCAATTGTCATCGCCCTTAGTCAACTTCTACAAACAGGAAACAAAATTAAAATTAACACGAATGTATTTTTTTATTAACATTCTCGAGCACGATTCGGCATTTCAATAAATTCATACGAGAATATTACCTCTATGTGCGATTTGTTCAGGAGCCACGGTCTGTGAGCTAGGATCTTGTTGATCTCATAGAGATCTTGCAGTTTTCCCGGTATAGATCTAAGACCTTGGAGCCACAAGGGATCACCGCCCTGAAGAAGAAACTCTCTCTTCTGCAGGTTTATAAGGTAGCTACATTGATGTCTGCCAGCGGCCTGAAATTACACGATAGATGGATCTTCAAACCTGTTTTCTCATCAACTTATCTGTCGATATATGCGAGATACCACTTGACGCCGCTTTTCCATCATATAATGTAATCTCTCTTATACATTTCTCAATTTTATTGTACCACATTAAATCGCACGTCATTGAAGGGGATTAAAAAAATAAACAAATTTTCGAGAAGAAACCGCAATTTTTTTCTGAATGCGCCGCCAATTGATCTTTATGATGAAGCACAATTTGAATACAAAATAAAGATCCGCGCAATGGAAATAATTTGTTCCAAATGCTTCTAATGCCGGGCAATGTCGAGTAATGATATAATATAATTACGGCCTAATTACAATGCACACATCGCCCTACGTGCAATAAATCATTTAATTTATGGGCATTTCGACGATACAAGCCTCGTAATCTCGATTATCGCCGCTCGCCTCAGGCTGCGCATCACAATAAGCAGATATGTAGTATACAGGCCCGCAGAATTGGCTCGGGCAGATAATGCTCGTCGATAAGATACTATCCATAGGGAAATAAGCGCGAATAAAACGACCGAGGTCGCGAATCGACCGAAAGCAATTTTGCCCCGCGAGGAATTTCCATTCGAGCATTGAACGCCGGATGCCGATCGCGTCCGCCATGCATTATTGCACGTCAATTTGCACGTGTATTCCCATACACGTGCGCATGTATATTGCATGTACATGCATGCGTGTGATATCGCGCGATAAACGCGATAGATTTCTCGTTTCACAAATTTTCCGAGGACGAGCGCCCGAGTTTATTGGCTCGATTTTCGGGACGAAGGAAGATGGAGACTTCTAGCTCTCTCTCTCTATCTCACTCTCGCCGAGCATCCCCTGCGTTTTTCAATTTATACAACGCAAATTTCGAACGGTGAAAGGCGAATTAACGACGACGTGATGATGCATGGCGGCGCAAAATTGCGTGAGGTCGCGACCGGCAATATCGCGTTATCATTTTCAGCACGTGTTGAATCCAACAGATATGGAGTTTCGAGCTTTATGCTTGCTGTGCGCTTAATCCTCTGTCGAACAAACAATCTAAAGAAAAACTTACGAATTATCGGATCGAGTCGCGTTATCGGTTTTGTAATTGACAACAATGAAAAATCCCAAGATACAGAAAATTAGTCATAAGCATAATCGAGAAGACGATAAAATAAGATGTAAAATTGAAAAATAATATTGAAAAGAATTGCATGAAAAAAATTAAGAGTATGTGATGAACGTTTTAAACCCGTGATAACCCCACATTGTAATATCATATTGCATATGTCATAAAAATATCTATATATTCCGCGATAGATATCGAGAGAAAAATAAATTTTCGAATAATGGAAAATTTAAAACCGATAGGGTATGTGTGATTTTTTTATCAACGTAAAGAGTTAGTTTTGAAATGAATTTTATATAAACGCAATTATTTGAGGGTTAAATTACTTGATGCGAATTCGTCGATGATTTATTTATTTTTGCGAGAGTAACTTTGCAAAGCCCATGGGCATGGAGATCGTGTTAGTTTAGCAGCATCCCCGACCGCGGGGAATGCGTAGGTGGTGGATGCAGCGCGATCCAGCCACGGAATCGATCGATCATCATGACAGGATAGGGTACCGGTATCACGATAAAGAGAGAACGCGAGTGAAAAAAGCAGGATAAAAAAGAGAATAGACAGAGAAAGAGAGAATATGTATGAGTGTATGTATGTGTACATAAGAAAGTGCGATAAAATAGGCAAACAAGACATCTGTTTGCCATGAAACATCTCTAGAAATCAATCGATTCGAAAGTAGATAAGAGAAGAGTCCGCAAATACTTTAAGAATCTAACGGATTTTCTCGGAAAAACATGACTTGATATGACTAGTAATAATCCGGAGAGTGTATGGCATATCATTCTATTAATAATTTATCGTGCTTATCAATTTGATCCATGAGAGAAAGAGAAAAAAAGGAAAAAAGCCAATTCATATAAGGAGGTTCATAGAAATTTTATAATTTTTAAAGAAGCTTGAAAAAATTATCAACATCGATATTAAAAGAGAAAAATAAAGATTATTAGCATTAATTTTATCGCGTAATCAATCAGCATCCAGATCTGATTATCATCAAATTCGTCAATTATGAAAGTTTGCAAAATTTAAACTTATCAATTTATGCAATGTTTATATCAGAGATTAATGAGCATTAATTGCCAGCGAGACTTTACTATAGCGATATAGATTTCGCACCATCGTGGAAAAATTGGGAAGATGAAAAAAAAACAAAAACAAATACAGGAAATAATTTATTATCGTCAGAAAACAATATGTCCGTGATTGATAATCGCAAGAAAAACGCGAGTATCCATCGTGTTTAAAGCGCATCTCAATAATCGATATATCCGATATTCCTACGATGACCAATCCCAGAAACTATTGCGCGAAAAACACATCCTGTTTTTCTTTCCCAAATCGCGAAAGAGCATACCTTTGGTACCCACTGATAACCCCATCGCAAATATGCTGCGAAATTACGAGCAATCCGTGATAACGATAAATTCGCGGCGACCTTTCGGCGACATAATTCGAAATCGGCAAATATCCGCAGATTCGCGATATTCACATTATCGTTTTCTTTTTATACTATGTACATTATTTTTAAAAAAGTTAAATAAGTTAATTAACCTATTATAATCATCGATAGCAAATATATATTGATTAGAACCGCAAAAAATTTATATCTGCATTAATTAGTAGATATAATTTGAGACAAGATGATTAGCGACAATTAAATGATTTATCTCTCTCTTTCAAAGTCTGATATTATTTTCTTTCATTTATACGCATAACATGATGTTGCATTTGTTTTGTATTGCAAGAATTACACAAATATGCTTGATGCTTACAAAAATAAAATTTAAATATATATATACCTTTATATATATATTTTTTTTATCATCACAAAATTACATTTTTGTTTGCAGAACAAATATAGACTATTTATCTATACAAAAAATATAAAATTTCTCATTATCATTTATATATAAATTAAACATCTAGAGATATATAATCTAGAAATCTAAATATATATAAATTAAATATAGATATATCCATATCTAGAAAGAATAAGATTTCAAAATATTTTAACATATTCGAGAAAAGAAATTTACTAATTATTACATCTAATTTAGATAAAAATTAATGAAATGTAACTCTCTGAAAGTATTAGAATAAATAAATAAAGAAATATTTCATATTATTCCTATATTCAAACGAGATCTTGCGATTAATTTTATTACATAGCTATTTTTAATCTCGTTTCAAATTTGTAATAAATCTGTGCATGAGATACAATGATATAATTAATTTTTCCAATTTTCATTGCGAGATGAATCTCAAAGAGAACGTGCACCGTACAAAATATTTATCAGTAAAAAAGCTGTTTTTCAGATACCTTATCACTTTATCGCGCTCCATCCACGTGTACCGATCAACAATTTACCCTCGTCCCTCTCAAAAGATAAAGTCTTTTTCGAATGATCATTACCCGCCGTGATGATATTTCTGTATCGCGCAACTTGCTAGTATGTCTCTCAAATTATCAAATCGAGATAATTCGAAGACCGAATCAAGAAGCATGCGGAAGGCACAATAATCAAATTTAAATTAGAACAAATTTAAAATTAATCAAATTTCGATTTAATATAAAATTAGATTCAGATATATTATGTAAATAATATAAATACAAGAGTTTTTTCCGATTCGAGTGTTTGGAGTATATATATATATATATATATATATATATATATATATATATATATATATTAAAAAAAGATCTCCTAAGATGTGCGAAAATTGTATCAGCTGGATACAAGATAAAATTCACAATAAATCATATGACTTCTGATTAAACTTTTGATTACATCAAAGACGGAAGTTGTAATCTTGATATTATAATATATGGAAAAACAGCAATTTTTACAAAGTTTCTGCAGTTTATCCAAGATTTTGCAATAAACAAAGACAGTTGCGATCGCGCGAGTGCTTGTCAAGCAGTTGTTAACTCGACGATTCAAACTAAACTAGTTTATAAAATTAGCATACTTACTCTCGCGTTTACATCGAGTGCTATCTATCAACATCATAGTTTTCATCAGTTTCATATTGTGCAGTTTCTATTCATGGAAATACATTCAATGAATAATTATTTATAGGCTAATCCGAGCTTATATCTCCCGAGATGAAGTGAAATCTTAATCGAGGAACAACAATTTTGTAAAGAAAGAAGATAAAAAAAATAAATAGACTTCAAACAATTGGAAAAAAATAAATGTTTTTTTTTTTTCCAAATATTGCAGAAAAGCCAAAAAAATACTGAAATATTTGTTCATAAAAACTCTTGAAAAAATTATCGATAAATTATTTCACACACATTTTTAAAAACGAATAAAAATATCACAACTTAATGATGTTTCGAAAGAGGATATATTATAATTTTATTTTCGTAAGTAAACACATACGAATTTATATGATTCTTGCTGTACAAAGTAAAGTCAACAAATATATTTTATCTCTCTGCTTGTGTGCGTTATTTAGATAAACTTGTTTCTCGCACAAATCTGTATATTCCAAGTGTTATATGATAAATGATTCATTTGCTGAAAAATATTGGCTTGTCTGATCCTTGAGAATAGATTGATCGATTAGATATATCTCTACTTATGTATTATTTATATTGTATAAAACTTACATATATTGAAATTAAATTATGTATTATTTATGTTCTATAAAACTTACATATATTAGAAAGATTGAACTCTATTTCTATTTTTATCATTTAAATCATTGATAAAAATAGAACAAAATTGTCTAATTTAAAAATAAAATACAATTTTATCTATCAGCTTTTTTAAAATTAAAATTCTGTCTCAATTACACAATTTTGTGAAGAAGATAACGTTGTTTTCAAGACGATTCCTACACGCGTCATATTTTTTATACGCGTGCATATCTAAGAGAGTGTCATAGTTATATAATTGACATAACAAAATGGCATATTTTGATGCAAAAATAGCTAAGAATAATGACGAACGAGCGCATATGAATCGTCGAGTGGTAAAGATCATAAAGGAACAGCCAATGTTATTTTTCACATCTTCACAGAGTCTTTGCTACGGCAACGTGCGTGACGTTACGAAATACACGCGTGTTGCATTTACTCGGACGACGATAACCTTCGACCCGATGACCCGCCGCTTGAGGACGATCGGGGAACTTTAGAAAAAAGATGAAGGCGCGATGAAGAAAAGCTTAGCTTCGCGAAAGAAAATGTTCTCCGAAAAAACGATGAACGTCTTTCAAAAAAGACGAGAAATGTTTTTAAAAAATCGTCCATAAATAAGTTAATGAACTTGATTAAAGTTTATATTTTGAAAATATAATAAAGAAATCCTAAATTTTCTATTAGCTTTACTATAATAATTATTAAAATAATTTTTATTAACTTTATACTAAATAATAATTATTAATAAAAATTTATACCCTAAAATAATATATATATATATATATATATATATATATATATATATATATTAATCCTAAAGGTAAAATAATTTTTCAACATAAATATATTAGTTCATCATATTATTCGAGATAATGAACCACGTATTATAATAATTAACAAACATGTTAAATTAATTCAAATTATTAAATAAATATATAATAATATTAAGAAATTTATAAATACAAATATTATTATTATCCTAAAATATATAATTATCCTATATTCTCTTTAAAAAATTAAAATAAATCTCCCCCTAAAATATTTAATGTTAAATCCTGAAACTAACTCAGACTCTCCATCAAAAAAATCAATCAATGCAAGAATAGAAAAAATTCTTTTCCGAAATGTACTTGACTTACGAAACTTTTCGTAGGAGGACAAGAATGAAAACTTACCATAATGGCGATGAGATGTCGGTAGTCATAAGGGAGAGGTCCATCTCCTCGAAGGATGAAATGCTGAGTCCGCAGGAAATGTTCCAGATACGATGGGTGTGATGACATTACTCTGGAGACATGATCCAGCCTGTTGTTCTGTACGAAAGCATCCATCAATAGCACATGCGTCTACAACACAATCAAAGCACATTGCATGTAAATAAAAGCTCTAGTCAAGTGTCACTAGAATAGAGGTCACTTCGTCAACATATTTTTTGTACAACGAAATAATCTTGCATCTGATAACATTTGTCCGACTTAAAATTTACAAGTATTGTCCGACTTAAAATTTACAAGTATTTGATAGAGATGAAAAAGAGCGCGCGAGAAGAGATAATCGAGAGATTTTATTTAACAATTCAATCGTTACAACGGATTATGGAAATTATCTTCAACACTTTGCTTCGAAACGTTAGAAATGTTAGAATGTATTCGGGTTTCGCTTATTTTTTTTCGAGTAGAAAAATGTATCCCCGCATTAGACTCTATCTGTTAATTGGTCAATCCAGTCACGTTATTTTCGGTTCTGACTAAAATCCGTTAGTCATAGTTTGCCCTTCCTCCTTCCTCCTCTCCCTGGCGTCTCGCGATAAATTTTGAGCATTAGAAAGTCAGCGACTCATACACAATGACACGAATCGATTCTACTACCTTATCGTACTTACTTCACATCTTGTATCGTCGTAAAAAGAGCGAGAAGAGCAGGTGGGGGAAAAACGGGAGGAGATATTGACACACGTTTATCACGATATCAATTACATAATCGCGTTTGTGACATGTGCTCGAGTGTAAAGAAAAAATATCCGGGTCATCCGAAAGTGATCCGCGCAATCAGGTGTTTGCATTGCATCATTCGACAGTTCGTCCTGACTACTACTGATTAATATATCACCTCATGCTCTTGTCGCAAGAGATAAAGCCAGCTAAAATAGATATCGACATAAATTACAATTCCGCGTACTAGACAAGTTACATTGGAGTATCACGCATTTTAATGACCACCATTTATAACTTGTGGTTGTCCGTTAGTCGCGGCAGAATGTATCAATGTACAAGATTATTATAGAGATTATTTATAGACAAAACATGGCCCAAGAATCTGCCATCAAAAAGAACTAAAAAATAAATATTAAAAAATTATACAAACTGACGTTTCATGTTTTTAATCCATGAGATATTCGAGTATCCACAGATTACATGATTTTATTACAACTTTGTATGTTTAAAAAAAAATGATGGAGATTTATTAATGTAAATTTTAAGTAAACGTTTACATTTCTAAGTCACAACACATAGAAAATAACTAGTTGTTAAGAGGATAAACAAACGTGACTTTTCCACCGAGTCACGTTTCGCCGCTTAATGCGATTTACCGGCTCGTTAATATTTATACATAGTTCCTGTTTGCCAGTTTCTTGTGCCATCGATATTGAAAACAGCTCATCCGTTATAAATATTCCGCCTACTGTCAAGCTTATTAGCCAAGCTTTCGCCGGTCGGGAGAGCTACTGTGATCGATGAGCGCTGACGCAATCACATATTAGGATCGTACTTCGGATGTATCGAAGTACGAAATGTACGAGTAAACAGTCGTTCATCATGCGCGTGCTCACGTTTCGAAATAGGCGGATCACCCGGTGTACTCTCTAAAAGTGAATCAGTGAAAATATCACTAATTTAAACAGTAAAATAAGATTTCACTGAGAATCAGTGAGTATTTTACTGATCTTCAGGAAACGCTTTACTGCTATGATCGCTATCTCTCTCATATTTAGTTTTAGTCATAAGAATTACATAAAGTTTGCAAAAAGTGTCAGATAAAATTAGAAATATTACTTCGATTTAAATTCTGAAATCTCAATAGAGAGGCTTCAGATTAAATCGATCTTATAAGTCGGACAAATAAATGTCTGGCGACTTAATGAAAATTATTCGTTCGTTATTTAAAATAACAAGTTCAATATACATATAATATAAATAAAATAAAATTTTTAATACAATAAATATTTAGTAAATATAAATAAAATGTTTAATTTTATATATATTTATTTATATTTATATATATTTATTTATTTTTATATTTATTATATAATATTTATATTATATTTATGAAATAGATAGAGACATGAATTGTAGTTTAATATTACTAGCAATAACGAAAGAAATATTACTGATATTGAGAAATATTACTGAGATATTACTGATTGAAACAGTCAAAATTATTAACTGATTCTTTCAATAAAATATCACTGATTTACAGTGCTGTACTTATAACTTCTGTAATCAGTGATTAGTTACTGTTTTTCAGTGATAATACACTGATTCTCTTTTAGAGAGTATATGTGAGTCGATTCAGGCTCAGAAATCGGGCTCCAAGTCCTTTGCCTACCATTGTTAAATTCGAGGTCATTTCGCAGGAATGTGGAAGGTAGACATTCGCCTAATCCTTCCTACGATGCCTCTCTTCCGCATACATGCGAAAATTCCTTCGTGTGTGAGACGCTTATTTATCTTTCTCATATGCGTAAACAGAAGAATACGCGACGAGGTTTGCAACTCGAATGAAAATTGCTCAATACCGCAAATTAAATTTCAATGATATCTATACAAGAGTAAAAGAGAATGGTTTTTTTTCCTAAAAGGCGTAGGTAGATAATTCCCTCGCAATATCTCGACAATCGATAACGAATATTATTTCGCAAGTCATCGCACTTCATATGTCGCTTGCTTAATTATTAAAGCATTGTTATTACATTGTTAATATACGCTGTATCGATTTATTAGCAATTCAATAAATATTTCTTATCGATTTTCATATCGATAATCCTATGCCATTCATCGAATGACAGGTCGAAACAAAGTAATAGTGAAAATATTGATTAGTCAGTAAACATTAAAATGCAAATTTGTGCGAATGTCGCGAACAAACTGTAAGTAAATAACTATGATGCAAGTGTATACAATGCATGATTTGCTCCCCAATGATGTGGTCGACCTTGGGTCGCTAACCTATGCAAATATATATATGTAATATCAGGAGTAAGTTCTCGAGGGTTTATAAATCCATATCGTTTTGATTTTAATGTAAATATCAATTTAAAAAAAATGAGTGACATTGTGTAACATTATTCAATATTAATAGATGAAGAGAAGATTTCGTTAAACTATCTTTTCTGATGTAAGCATTTCGTTCGCATTTCTTTTCTTGGACGTTACTTGATGTATAAAATTTTAGTCTGGTGGTTCAGCCTTCTTGTAATAGACACACATACACACTGAAAGCTTTCAAGCTTCAGTGCCAACTTTCGCCTGGATGAGATATTAAATGATGTTTCACAGACACATCATGTCACCCGTTATAATTATCATAGAACGACGGTATCGCAAGTGCGATAATAATAGAATACGATTTTACATGACGGCGAAATGTCAGGTCGAAACAATTATATGCGCTTCGATCTCGACTCGAATTGTTATCATCAGATGAAGAAAAAAAAATCAGATGAAGAAAGAAAACAAATTAAATGAGATTAATATGTTCGCTCGTCATGCGATCGGTTTCCCCGGTTTCGTTGCAAACAAGCGACATAAAAAACAGATTTCAAATAAACGCGCTTACGAAGCTAAAATCAACGTCATGGAATGATTAATCGAAGACTCAAACACGTACAATTTATTATCATTATTATTGCTGTACGATCGATTATAAAAAAATCTTTTCCGAGCGACAAATTTGTTGTAATTTTCATCAAATATCGAGTAAACACGTAACTGTATTTTGCAAAAGTTACTACAGAGTGATCGATAAGCGCATGAGTTTATAAATAAAGGAAATGGAGTATATATCGTATTCCATGGGATATCTCTCGTATGATATGGCTTTATTTTCCTCTCATTACATATGTTGTGAAAATAAATATGAATCTTTATAAAAATAAATTTTAATCGCCGTTTTTTGCTATCGAAAAAAGCACTTCAGGCATCAAAATTGATCGACATACATATGCTACACTTATGTAAATTCATATAAATTAATTTGCAGACGCATTTAGTTTAAATTCTTGCGTGCTAAAAAAAATTAAAAGTTTCATACCTTAGCGAATTCCCTCAAATTTTCTTCATAGTTTTCATTTTAAAACAATGTCAAGTTCACTTCCTCGTGAACTTTGTTCTAAATTTAGGATAGAGTTTATTTTGGACTCGACGACGAAAGCAATCTCCACGAGATAACTTATGCATCCGTTTTTCACGCAAACCGATTAATATTCCCTTGTCGAGCAGATCGACACGTGGACTAGCTGTCACATGTATATATGAAAGTGAATTTAATAGTCGAGAAGCTAATAGTTTGAGCGTCTCGTTAAGGAAGCTGCTCTCGAATCGGCCCATTTATTATTAAGCGACGTTTGCGTTGCCGAGAGAAGTCGGATTCAACGCGTCGGCGGAAATAACAAATTACTCAGTGTCAGTTAACCGGCGTGGCGGCCGGAAATTGAGAGAATAGTCGAGTACTCGAAACAATTTGCTCGATTTGCTTTTCGGCAGACCTCGAGAAAGCTTGCAAAAAGAGAGAAAAAGACCCCCGAGAGAAATCCGCACATGCGTTTGTTTAATCAACGCGAACGTGAATCATCTTCTTCCAACTGTTTATATCGGGAAATATATCTTTACTGACCGTCATACATTTTATTAGCTTAAACTCCATAAATGTTTTACTGTGCGATCATCGCAAGAAACGCACGCGAACTGATATTAATATTAATAACGATTATCTAACACATTCATCATTTTACTACGTAAACATCCGCTTGATGACTCGTTTCATTTCTCGAGCTGGTGTTTTTCTGCGTTGGCGAACATAAAAAAAAACACGAACAACAGTCAGCATTGCGATATGTTCCATCGACAGTCATTAACCGTTAAACGCTGGACATGACGCGAGAGACAAGTTGTTAAGTTGTTTTCAACATCAGTCTATTTTTTCGCAGTGTACTTTTTTCTGTCCACTAAATTAGCTATCAGCTATTCATCGCATAAGCGCGTTTTCAGGGACTCCGCGAAATTGCTGTTTTATTCCAACCTAACCGGAACAATTCCATTGATGAAGTTATTTGTATGGACATAAGCTG